TTACAAGTCACGCGTCGCGATCCTCATTTGTAATTCATTTCGCCCCCGCTATACGGATACCGTGGCGAAAGCTACGATACGACCGCGCAGCCCACAGGCACAACGAAGGGCTGAGGGTAATTAATTTACCGGATGGTGTAGGGAAATTGGTAAAAACACGGCTTCAATCTTACATTAATTGTATAAAATTCTAATTTCAGGTAAACAAGCAAAGTTTGTTTTCAATTATTACATATAACTATTAGTTGACGGATGTTACTCGTTTGGATTTTTCGATGCGAAGTTTACTCAGCCTCAAGCCTGTCATTCCGCCGAATTTATATGATTATGAACATATAAATATAATACAAAAATTAAGTGCAAGTAAGTAAGTAAATATTTCATGCTAGGCATGTAGCACCCATTACGGTATGGGTAACCACTAATATAACCATCCATTGAGTCTTTGCTTTTTCGCTTTGCATAGCAGCTCAGCGAGGTCCGCAGGGCACAGGGGTGCTGGGTGCATTTTGCCTATATCTAACGACAAACAAGGTGGCCTTACAACGAGATCAGAAGCATTATTAGATCGATGCGCAGCAAGCTTGCTAGTTGCTACGAAGTATCCCGAAACGGGTTAGTCCATTATCATTTCTAACAATAAACACATTGTTGGCACTTGGCAGTTGGCTTGATACACGAATAATTGCATTTCGATCTTCGCGCACGAAACCAGGACACAGGAGCTTGCCTGTCATGCGTCGGCGTACACGCTTCAATATGCAATTCTTGGTAGCTGTCATGCTACGCGCAGCAGGCAGCTTCATTCCTCCATAGCTCCATTGTCCAATGAGTATGTTTATAAATATTATAGCTTGTAGCACGATCCGTTACTGTGCCGCGCCGCGCATTCAATTATTGATTATTCTTCTTGCAACGCTAATTCGGTGAAATGTGCTACTGGGCCTTGCCGAGCTGCGATGAATTGACATTGCATTGTCAGTTAACATTATAGCCTGTGCAGCAACAGTACACGCGCTTTAACCTAACCATGTGCTTTCGCGCCACTGCAGCGTGCAGGCGCGCTCGTTTCACACGGGAGGCGATCGGCGGAGAGGAGTTTAAAGATAAAATAGAGATAAGGATAAAATACATATATAAATAGATCAAGATAGCGATTAGAATATTGAATAGAGATTTTACAGCAATTTTACAAAAATGACACACATGGGCCACATAATGATTTACATAATAAACCTGCTAGCGCATGTGTATCAAACAAATTTTTGACACACATACGCTACCTAGGAAGCGCATGTGTATCATTATTTTTTTTGACACACATGCGCTTCCATACTATGACCGTAAATGCAATGATCAGATAAACTTTCCAGATTTAGGAAAAATATATATTTATACCTTGTTTTAAAAACATTTCCTTGCGTTTGAGATGTAGTAAGCAAAATACAATTTTTTTGTTGTAAAACTTTTTCAAGCTGTTGCTTTTTTACTGCACTTCATAGTTCAAAACCTAATTAGGCTTCGGATGATGAAACAAAGTAAAAACTCCCTGGTTTGTACGAGTTTCAAGCGACTTAAGGTTACTGAAAACGAGATCAAAGTTTACAAGCAGACTTGAAAGTTGCACAAAGTTTTGGTACTTGTCAGCGATACAATCAATCAGGCTCATAAATTTCCTTAATCGCTTACTTGAAATTAAAAAGGAAGTGTCAGAACAAACTACAGTCACCCTCACAAAAAGTAGTAAACACAGAAACAATGTTTGATCTATTCGAAGGAAGAAAACACACAAAACAAAGCCAGATTTCAGCCATTTCAGACCTCAATTTTAACCCCCTCTGATCCCTTCTTTGAGCCATATTCCATATAGAAATTGTGCAGAAATTATACTTGGCTTTTCCAAACCGGTTTCGCCTAGATTGGCTTGCGAAATTCGTGGCTGATCTATAAACAGACTGATAAAGAGACTTATAGATTCTGTACAATAAAGAGCGAAAATTCTATCCCAGGACTAGTTTTAACTGAATTTTAGTTAGTGCAAATAAGTGCAATAAAAACATCCTATAAAATATATTATTTATTTAAATATATCAAGGGACGAATGACGTAACTTAATCAGCTAATCTGGTTATAAATTAGTCTGGGCACTGTAGCAAACAGGTCCGATGATTAATGTGCTGCCATTCATTAGACCAATTCAATATTGGTAACAGTACGGGTGAACTACCTGGCCATGACCAGGGTGGTTATAGGCTGGTGGAGTACTGCGTTCTAAAATGTTGAAGAGATACATTTGAATATTACAAATGTTCTGATAATTTCCAGTTCAGATAATTTCTAGCTCGAAGCAGATAATGGCAAATAATGGCAAGTAAAGATGTATACTGACTAAGAACTAAGCAGAATACTTGATAAAATTCTAAGTCAACGATTACAAGTTGCATTGATTAAATCATTCTGAAATAACAGACAATCAAGAATCAAGACGGACGATAATATTGTTGATGTAAATTAGGGTGTGCAGTGTATAATGTGGACTGATAAATAGACACTAATTATGACCCCACAGCTCTATTCAAATACAAGAACCAGGAAATTCTTTCACCTTATCGCAGATACAGATTATACGATAAGGACTGTGATGTATAATCAACACTTAAACGGATGTTCTATACATTATACTGCATCTACAGTTTTAATGACTCTAAAAATATCTAATAGAAATAAAGTATTAGAATCACCTCACATCAATTGATTTGCAGGATGTAATTACGTATCAAACGCGCTCGCGGCGGAATATTCTAGACACATAAGTACAAGACCCATAGGCGGAAAACACATTAATATCGCATGCACTAGGTATCAGTACAAAGCAAATTCAGCGCGGCACACAGCATTCACTGTGTCATAAATGTGAAACGCGAGATTCTAATTTCACGTATTGTATCTTTAATATCTGAAATACTAACTTATCGAGAGCTATATATAGCTTGGACATTATAAACATAAATAAGTTCGACATGTCTAGTTTTGCTTTGGTGAGATTTATAACTAACGTTTGATCAAATTCTGCTTTCCCGGCCAAATTTGGCTCCAAAGAAAGTGTGATAAAACATTAATCACATGCCTTCTCATGCGATATCAACATTTTCAAAACTCGGCAAGCCTCGTGATTGAAAATGTCGATATAACCCTCGGCAAGCCTCGGGAAATATCGAAACTTTCGCTAACTCGGCAAGCCTCGTGGGCGAAAGTTTTGATATCGCATGAGAAGGCATGTGATAAATGTATAATATCCAGCTATATACTGGTAGTGTTAGATAAGCATCTTGTACATTTCTACTCAAATGATGTCTTCAAAATTACAGTACTACCAAGCCGGTGAAATCCATTATCAAGTTAACTGTTTTGTATCATTTATAGTGAGCGGCATGAGGATTAAAAGAGTTTCCTGTTTGGAAGACAGACCAGAGCTAACATACTAACATAATATTATGTATAAACATTTCATGAACTTTCTGTTATTATTGGTACGACTTAAAGTTGTGTGAGTACATGGGAATACCTAGTGTATACTGTATAACTAGTGCAAACTTAGTGCAAACCTACTGCCTAGTGCACACCGGATACAGTTCTTACCAAGTACGTGGTTAGGTTACACTAGTAGTTAATAGTTATAACTAAAACTATAATGACGTGTACACTGAGTGGGCGGTGTTCCTACTCACTTTATCTTAGACCTACAGCTACAGTACACTCTACACAGACCTACACAGGTCTACACAGACATTGACTTAGTTAACAAATACTAGATAGTACATTATATAGAAACACTTACAAGTTAACCACAACCTATTTACAGGCCTTATATAATATATATGTACATAAGTACGCCTACATGGTGACGATTATTATCCATTTAAACGTATTTACATTCCTTGTGAGATGCTGACATGATATTATTGATATAACAGCACTTTGTTCAGCACTTTGTTCACGTGTAGAACCAATATTGGTGCTAACTTAGTATGCTTTGTTTGCGTAGCAGTTGTTTAATTAGTAAGAACTGTATTTCCAGCTCATGTAGGATTGTAAGGCACGTAGTATTAACCACGTATTTACCTTAACAAAGCACTTCACTACTTTCCTTTTATTTCTAAATGGCTCGTGACAGTAGGCTGTTGCACGCGAATATCTGCCACAATTAATTTAAATAAAGATAGTATCGTTAATAGGATTAACTATTTATGCGCGCAGACTGGCACCAATAACACTTCACACAACAAACTTTAAAATGTAATCTAAATTATTTAATGCGTTTTCTACAGATTTCAGGCTATGTCCTATGACGTATATCATATTATGATGCAATTTACTGACTGACATTGTTTATTATAGTAAAGATCGATCATTAATAATTCATACCATCTGACATAATTGTGGAAAAATGATCAAATCTACATTATCATGAACATTGAACAATGAACATTGAATTTGAACATAATCATAAATATGATGCATCATATATATAATATATATATATGATATAATTACCATTGCATTCAATGAACCTAAAAGAGAATGCAGTCAGCCACACGCTACAAGACAAAATAGTATGTGTTGTGATCACAATCAGTGCAAAGTCAGCGTCAGCTGTTATTGGTGAGACATAGCACGTACAGAATCATTCTGAGTTTAACAAGAATTTACTTTTTTATTTAAAATTGTAAGCTTTATACTTTTAAAGTGAATATTTAGATTATACGAGACATTTTACACCAGATCGTATAATATGCACAGGAGAGATACTATGTACTAACCGACTGATATAAATGCTGTAGCTCTAATTCCTAAAACAAAGGTTCGGTTATCAATACGCTAGCATGGTCTTTAACAGCTGAAGAGTAACAAGCACAGCACACCAGCTAGAATGCTAGATGGCGGCATGATGAATGGTAGATTAACTGAAGGTTTAAGTAATAGTGGGAAGTTAAGCTTACCTTCACGCTCCATGTAGTCGAAGCTGGCTTCTTTGGTGAAGAAGTTAGCGTGTCTTATGATAGACCGCACGAAGAACCTGCACAGGGGAAATGTTACTTCAGTGTTAATAGTTAAGCTGTGTATGGAGCTAATTGATCGTGAGAATTGTTGACTCTTGGAGGGCTGGAGGGTGAAAAATGTAAAAAATTCAATAGAATAAATTGTCCAGTTCAAAAGCTGAGAATTTAAAAAGCAAATATACCTGCTATCAGTAACGGTAGATCCTGAGGAGGATTTGGCAGTGCCGTAGTACATGTGAAGGATGTGGTTATTGGTCTGGAGGAGTCTGATGTTGAAGTTCTTCATTCTGTGTATCTCCAGCTGGAACGCTGAAAGAAATGTGAAAGTTATTTGGGAGGTTTGAACTAGAGTGCAAACTGCAAATCCTGAGTAAAATGATAATAGTTGAGTAATATGTTCCCCATTATTTAAGTGACCGATGGGTTGATCAGTTGCAATATTGCAGTGATCAGTGCCTCTACTTATACTTCAATAACAAAAATAACATCAAGTAATATAAATAGTATTAATCAGGGTGTCCAGGTGATTTTGAAAATGAAATCTAGGAAATCGGATGTCCCTGGACACCCTACGGGTATATGGCCCCCAGAATATAGGTCGTTTTTTGAGCACTTAGAAACAGGTGTTAAAACTACTTCTAAGCATGTTTAGGGCTGTAAATATGTACATAATAACCCTTTAAATGTTTCTTGGGTAGTTGAAAATAATTATTAGGTTTTTAAGTGTACTTTTTTTTCACCTGTAAAAATACCATTTTTTAACAGGGCCCCCAGAATATAGGTCCAAACATCTGTTCCTAAGTTGTTCTAAAATTGTCACAGACAGTTATATGCAGTCAGAATATGTTGCTGAGACTGTATTGATGATGCCAATGGCTCCAGATACTAAATTGAAATGGTTTAGAGTATACTTAATAGCAAAAAATCAAAAACTACGGCCCCCAGAATATAGGTATGCAAAAATCGTCCTCAAATACTCCACCTTCATACATTTTGATGATGCCATCTCTTCAGCATATGTTCTTTAACTGTTTCTCATCACTACCCCACATTCCTTAATGCTCAGGGTGACAGAGAAAATGCAGAATCTTGGTCGCTATTTTTTTTAAAAAACCTATATTCTGGGGGCCATATACCCGTGATGAGTAAAATCTTTAATTTTACTTGTTTAAAAGCTTTCATGCACTCATTTAGTAGGGATCTTAACTAAATACTTTAATAAGATTGAAGGAGTGTCCCTAGATATGATTGAGGGGGGCTGTTTTTATCTGTATCAATACAATGTGCACCTCAATGACTGTAAATCAGACATTTTTGGCCGCCAATTTTTTTAAAGGCCTAACTCAAAATTCTGTCCCAAAACTTAAGGTCATGAGACAATTCTACGTTGATTCTGAAAATTTCATGTGAAAATATTGAAACCCTATTGAGTTCTATTGTTTTGAGCGAAGTCAGTTTGAGATATGGGCGATTTTGTTAATTTTTTGCGATTATTTGAACACAGAATCCACAGTTAGGTAGATATTGAGCTGATAATCATAGAGAATGTGTAATATATGCATATACTTTCCATATAAAGTTGGTTTCATTCAAAAATATTAATATTTGACCAATTTATGGACCAAAATCGATCAAATTTGGTGCGTATGCCCAAATATGGGCATATGGTTTTTGTTTTTATCCCATAACTCGGCCAATTTTTATCCAATTTTGATAAAACTTGATATGTGGGTTCAGGAGACTAGTAGCTACAAGTAGAGCATCCCAAAGCATGGTTTTGGGCATGTTCAGGGTTTTTGACCAACCTATATTCTGGGGGTCGTATAGACCTATATTCTGGGGGCCCGTAAAATTGTGGTGGCCATAACTTTTTTCCAAATTGTCAGTTTGCAGATGTCTCGATGAAAAGATAGCTTAAAATAATACTTATACTCATACCAGTAGTCTTAATGGCATGTGTTGGACAGATTTTTGTCATGACAATTTTTCGCCATATTTACCCCTCTAGAAAATGACAACATCGTTTAAATTTTTCGCTGTCATGACCAAATATACCAAAATACCTCATGTAGGTCCAAAATTTTTATCCAGAAACATAAGTTACATGTTTTACTCCAACCTAGCAGTAACAGATCCCATTAGTATCGCTTATCTTGGTTAGAAATGTATCCACTAACATGACCTATATTTTGGGGGCCACCTATATTCTGGGGGCCATATACCCGTATAATTACTACCAATATCCAAATATCTCGTTACGATAAATTCCTGTAAAACTGCACTTATATCTGCGCTATTTATCTTATGTAATATGTTTGTAACTAAAACTTATAAAATTTGCATCGCCGCATCTCACACTTTTAAAGTTAGAATGCATGTTACGCTAGCGGCAGCAACTTTAATGCACAATTTAATGGTTGAACTATCCCGAAATTAAGTGAATATAATGTTATCATAACTTATCTGACGACATTTTTAAATATTTATTCTTGGAAAATATTATGCAGCTCAGTAATGTTTGGTCCAAATGCTGTCGTTGCTTCTTTAATTAATACAGTTTGATGACAGCAATAATACTATCTAGAACATTCATTTTATTTTTAGTGAGCCAACATGTGCTAAAATTAACTAAATATAAAAACTAATAACTTGCCACTCCTAAAAGTAATAACTTCACTGTCACAGTAGAGATTCCCAGAAAATACCGACCACAAAACAGGTACATACCTAGAGCGGGCTCCAAATGTCGGTAGATGCTGTCCTCAGCCCAGTTGAGCCTGTGCCGGAATGTGTAGAAGAAGGGATAACTTCCTTTTTGAAGGCCAGGAATGTAACTCTTCTTATGTTGTGTTCCACTAGTTCGCTCTGGATACGGAAACAATTATTAGATATGTTAGTGTATCACACTGTTTAATTAATACATGTGATTATAATAAAACAAATATTTAATAAAACAAATATTTATTTTTACGGCACAATCAAACAATATCAATAATAAATATATCAGGGGAGGTTTGAAGAGGTTTCAAGTGCCGAAGGCCACTGCTTATCTTTAGGATTTGAGAGTGACCTGTGCTTGAAACCCCCTCAACCATCCACTACGTCAATATACTTGTTATATAAACTATATAGAAAAATATAACAATCTAAAATTACTTATTGGTTTAGTTTGGTGACATAGGAGAGCCCAGTTGAGTTTTAGTTTAGGTTTAAGTTTTAAGTTATAGTTTAAAAGGTTAGCCATGTTTCATGGCAGAGAGAGATATCATGTGTGCAGAGCCGTACCGGATTTAGAATTTGAGATATAATATAAATTAGTTACCATGTATTAGGGTCATCTCGATTTTGGAGGGATAGCAAGTGCTTTTTAAAGTTAGATTTAATAACACCTGACGAGGCTGACAAGTCTGAATTCTTGGAAGAACCCGGGATTATTATCCCATCTACATTAGCATCACATATTTCGAATACATAGGGGCTGAGGTCATTCCAAATTTTCGTAGAGGTGTACAAAAAGTTCTGTTGGGAGATATCCAACCTCAGTAATGGGACAATCAGACGAAGTTTTTCATTTCTAGGACAGAACTTGAAAAGATCTTTAATCGACTGGGGGACATCAAATTTAAGAATTTTGAATAGTTCCATAAATGTATGGTACATGTGCAGATTCTCCAGGTTCATAATTTTCTGCTCAGTGAATAGCGGTTTAGTGTGTTCAAGACAGTAGTTCTTGCTAGCCATATGTTCGTTATAAGTTCTTGAACGTGCACAGGTTAAATAGTATTCCTTATGATCAAAATTGGGAATGTTACCAAATAGCAGTCTTATACATCGTTTTTGAATTGCAAAGATTTTATTCAGCTTATGTTTAGGGATCCCACCCCAGCAACTTATACAATAGCTAAGATGTGACATAAAAAGAGCATTGTATAGTTTCAAATATTCAGATTTGGGAATGAATTTGCAAATTCTCTTAATCGATACAATACTGGAGTTCAGCTTTAAAGATAAATGATTAAGATGTGGTTCCCAGCTTAGCTGTTCGTCTATTATCACCCCAAGAAACTTTGTACATTGAACTTTTTCTAGCTTTTTGCCATCTATTAAAATCGTTAGATTCCTGTTAAAGGGCCGTGTTCTGGCACAGGTCTGTGTTGCTCTTGACAAACCTGGCTGAAAATGCATGTAACAACTTTTCCCTGCATTTATATGTAACTTGTTAGACTCCATATAGTTACTGACCTGTTTCATTACATGATTAGCTTTTTCAAAAGCTTCCTGTGCTGAACTACCTATCACAAAAATATTTGTATCATCAGCAAACAGGACGAATTCAGCCAAGCTTGAGGAGCTCACAATATCATTTATATAAATCAGAAATAGTAGAGGTCCTAACACTGACCCCTGGGGTACACCATACTCAACTGAACACTTGTCCGATTTTTCAGTTTGAAAAGAAGTTACTTGGCTACGGTTTGTTAGATAGCTAGCAAGAGTTTTTAGTGCAATACCTCTTACTCCATAGTGTTCAAGTTTATGCAGGAGTTTATCGTGCTCAATTGTGTCAAATGCTTTACTTAGATCAATAAATATTCCAATTACATGATTTTTCTGTTCAATCTCATTAAGTATTTTATTGACAGAATAGTTTACGGCATGAGATGTTGAGTGTTGTTTTCTAAAACCAAATTGTCGATCATAAATCACGTTCATAGCACTGAGGTAATTATATAACCTATTATAAATTATTTTTTCAAGTATTTTTCCAAATATCGGTAATGTAGAAACAGGTCTATAGTTATCAAGGCATCGTGAGTCTCCTTTTTTATAGATTGGTGTAATAGAGCCCGTTTTAAGCTTGTTTGGAAAGACCCCATTGTCCAAGAACCAATTAAAGAATCTAGAGATATGACCAGACAGATAATTTACACTCTTTTTTAAGACTTTAACAGAGATATCACTTGCCTTCCCATTTTCAAGGCTACCAATAATTTTACTTATCTCTTCCTCGTCACAGGGGCTGAGAAAAAAAGAGTTCACTATTCTTTCTCTGCCCTTGAGGTATTGCTTAAACTTCTTTTTATTGAAATTGCCATCAGTTACCGTACGAGATGGTACAGAAGATTGAACTTTTGAATTAAGAGTACGAGCAATAGACGAGAAGTAGATGTTAAATCCGTTAGCAATCTCACGGCGTTCAGTTACAATTCTACCATTAATTAAGAATGATGCTTTTATATCTTTTTTAGATTTACCCCTGAGTTCGTTAATCAATTCCCAGGTTTTTTTAATATTTCCTTTAGCAAGTTCAAATTTTTTCCCATAGTGGGCTTTTTTCGCAGATTTTATAGCTTTGTTTAGGATAGAACGATACTCCTTATACTTGAGATATAAAGTTTCCTCACCTAATGGGTTGATTTTTGTACACGAAGCCTTCCATCGCTTGTAGTGAAAGCCTTTAGTAAACACAGATTTAATTAACGCAGAAGTGATCCATGGATTCATCAATCTATTGCGTTTTGATTGAAAACCAGCAGTAGAGTCCACTTTGAAATTCAGTTCGATTTTTTCATGGACAGTTTCGACAAATTTTTCAAAACCTTCCTCATCATACGAAAAGTTCGATTGGTAGATATCCCTTCCGATATCATTAAGGAAGCTTTCTATATTAGACTCACAGTAATCATACTTAGGTTTAAGTTTGGCATCATTTGGACTCTCTTTAGTATTACACGATATGAAACAGAAGATGGGGTTATGATGGGAAATCTTGGATTCAAGAATTCCAGATCCTAAGACACGCTCAGTAGAGTTCACTAAAATATTATCTATTAAGCTTTCGTTGCAACCCGGCTTGGCATGGGTGGCAATCGATATCAAAGGGATTAAATTGTTACTGTAGATAGTTTGTTCAAATTCGGCTATGTTTCGTCCCTGGGCCAAAAGATCAACATTGAAGTCACCTGTCAAGGCTACATTATTAGACGGTAGGAATTTCATCAAAACATCAAGCTCAGCAAGTGCATCTAGAATATCACCACTAGGGGGCCTGTAAACAACACCAGCAATCTGTGGAACCTCTGTGTTAGTGATCTCAACAAAAAGTGTTTCAAGATTGTCAGAGCATTTACATAGCTTTTCGATTCGGCTGTATTGGTACTTATTGTCAATATATACACCAAGGCCACTACCTTTCTTTTTCCCATCAGTTTTGGAGTTGTACTCACTGCTGTAACCATCAATTTTGTATAGATCTTTATTTTCCTCATCAATGTTTGTTTCAGCTAGCGCAATAACTGCAAATTTCTCATCATATTGACTCATATCAGTAATAAAGCTGTCAAAGTTAGATGCGTTCCCATCAATGTTGTTAAACACAATAGATATGAACGGCTTGTTATGGTTAAGTATGTTTTTTGACAGCCGGTTGAAATTTGTCATGTTATAAGACCTACAGTCTTTTAGAATGTTTGAAATAGTCTCCATATCTTCGTCTCTTTCTACAGTGTTGGGATCATATTTGTCATAAATAATTGAGTTGAAAGGATTGTACCTTTGGGATTTGAAGGCGAAACATTGACTGCAGTGCCACATTTGTTTAACATGGTCAAATTTAAAGCTCTGTTCAGAACATTTGGCATGATATATTGTATCGCAACACTCACATATTATGACTTTATGATGGCTTAGTACATTGCTATCACAACCTGGACATCTCTCTCTTGTAATATTAAAGTTTATTGAGGTCATATCGGTAAGATATCACTCCTACTACCCCTACTTAGGGCACTCCTATAGTCACCATTTCCACCTTTAAATCTTTCCGTGGACTGACTTCCACCACGTTGTACAATACATCGTTTTATATTCATGCAAAATATTTTCAGGCCTTCTCTTCCGAGATGTACAACATCATTGACCAATGGTGTTCCATCACGTGAGAATCTACCATACTTAGAAGGCATGCATCCGTTAACAGAACCTAGTACAGAGTTATCTATAATAAACATGTTTTTCCTATTATAAACCATGTCAACAATCAAACTGTTTAACTCCCCTATACGTGAGTTAACAAACTGTGATTTAGTGGGCAAGAGTAGACTAATATGAACTTTACTATTAGGATAAAATTGCTGAATTTCACTACATTTCTTCTTAAGCTTAGCAATAAGTGTTCTAGTAGATGGTCTGTTGTTATTGTCCCGAATATCATTGATTCCCGTGTGTATAACAATGTTCCGATAAGGGCCTATGTCTTTCGGAGAAGGAATATCATCAATTTTAGCAGCCCACATTCGCTTACCAGGAACCCATTTTCCGAGAGTTCCAACATCTTTACCAAATTGAATGTATTTAGTGTTTGAGTCCCCAATTAAAACTGTGCTATTTTTGTAGTAAGGCGCAATATGCCTAAAGGTAAAGCTGTACCTCACAGAATTTGTCTCATCAGATTCCTCTTCATCTTCTTCATTAGCGAGGGGTTCAATACCATGATTCCAGATTTCCTGGGACAACCTGGACATCACGTACACACTTCCATCTTTGAGCTTTAAGGACTTTTCAGTCGACTTATGCGTGAACTTTATTGTGCGTTCTTCACCAAGAGACACAGTGACTATTATTGATTCAGGGTCAATAAGTACCTCATTGTCACAGTGCTGAGGGATATGGCTACTGTTGCCTGTATATCTTGTTACAAGGCAAGAGTTCAGCCAGCTCTTCCTATTGGGGAGAGAGGGACGCACACAGTCCAAAAGATCTTGTATTTCTACTGGAGTTTCCTTTGCCTGATGATATGCTCCTGTATACCAGTATCCATGTTCACCAAAGTAGATGACATCCCTGCTGCCACCAACCGAAGAAAAATCTGCACTACTGTCCTCCAGCAGCTTTATAAGTTCGCTGTGAAGCTCAACAGGCACTATATCTTCCTGATAAGTTATATAAGGGTCACATGCAGGGTCTATAGAAATTTGAGATGCAGTAAAGTGAGGAGAAGTAGTGTTAGGGGTCATAACGATAGAGTTGTCGTTGGGTAGTTCACCTTCATCAAATTTCTGTGTGGACGTTGAGGGACAAACATGATCATTGATCTTTTCCAATTGCACTTTGATCTGAGTCATCAGGTTATCAACATGGTCGAAAGTACTACTGTTAGTCGAAGGTTGCTCTGTAATAGGAATACTTTTGAGAGAGTCCTTCAGGTCATCAATCTCCTGTTTGAGAGAATAACTGGTTGTCTCAAGAGCTGAGCCACTCTCCTTTACTTTCGTAAGTACATCCTTGATAACAGCTATGTCTTCAGTGATGTCTTCAATTCCAGTTACTAATCGTTCTGTTTTTTTGGAGTGTTCTTTGAAACCGCCCTCCTTGAGTATGAGGTGTTTGATATGCTCGTTGAAGAACTCTATGGTTGTTGTACTATCTTTGAGGTCCTCATTACATTTGGATATCTTAGCAATGTTGCTAAAGAATTCTGTTAAGGCTTTGGATTTATCCTCCTCCTTCAATCTTCTTGTGTAAGGAAAGATAAAGCAGTCCGGGCACTTCCAGGAAGTGCTGAGCTTCTTTAGAGAGGTTACTGTGAGGCCAGCCAGGTTAACACAGTTAGAATGGAAGGTCTGCCTACAATTAACACATAAGATTGTCACGGGGTTCTTAGACTCTACCAAGCAGGGACACTTGGAGAGTAGCGTGGCTGGGATCGATGCTGGTTCGTTGCTCTCTACATCTACAAAGTCTCCATCAGATGTTAGATCTGCATCTGGCTCTGTGTTCCTATTATGTATTCTGCTAGTGACTTTTCGGCTTAAAACAGGGCTTGAAATTGGGGTGGATCCAGCTGACTTGCAGTGAGATTATTTGATAGAACATGTATAAATCAAGCTGTCTGTACATCTGAATTGAGTTGAATACACTGAGGCTAGGTCGTGGCCCGCGATAGACACATAGCACTATAGCAGTGGATAGTACAATTTCAAATTAAAATATGGTCGCAACTTGACGATCTTGACCACGTTAATTTATCAAATCTCATTTGAGCCGAGAGCAGTTTGTTTTAATTTTCTTGACTTTGATCACTAATTATTATGGCTGTAGAACGCAGAAATTCGGCTGACATGTACAGGAAGTGTGAGGAAGCCGCCAAATCAGCCAACTGATAATTAATTGCCCCCAATTTTTATTATATTTTTATTCTGCCGTGGTTCCACACTTGATGTTCATTCTTATTTGCTTTCTATTTTGAATTGTTTTACCTTTAATTATGTCGTTCGTACGAATGCGCGATTTGCTAAAATATTATTATATTGGACTATCAGTGCTATCCGAACCCTCACTCCCCAATCTAATGTTTGTACCATTATCCACCGACGTTGACCCTCTATATTGTTGAATCGTTCTACATGAAATTGACAACAAGTCGTCACAACCGATCTGAGCTGACGCAGTGACGCAGGTCTACTCACTAAGACCAATTTCATCAGGTCACAATAAACTGTCAGATACTATTATCTCTACGGGCGTTGATTCAACCCTCTCGTTACTCTACTAATACTCTCTTATCTTGGAGCCTATGTTATTAGAAAGCCGTGCTCGACCGTCGGGTAAAAAAAACGGCAAACCAATCAGACAATCACCACAGTAGTTTATATTTATATTTGTTGAGAAGACCCGCCTCACGGCTTCGCCACACCCACCTCTTTGCTCTTTATGAACGCAGCACAGAGTTTGTTGTCATGATCCTGGTCGAGCTCGTAGTTAGTAGGATGTTGTATCACCACGTTTACAATGTGGATTGGCTCCGAGGGTTTCTCCTCTCGTATGGTGTTCAGTTCTCCGCTGGAGAGACCGTTAGCCATGTGGTTGGATTGGTTCTGCTGGCCAGTAGTGTACTCCGCGTACCGTCTCATCAGAGAGTCGAAGTTGTCAGCTAGGTGCTCGTAAGAGGAGAAGGCAGCCATTACTCCCAGTCTGAACGGAGAGTAGTTGTTAAGGTTTGGAAAGTGAAGGGTTAGCCGGTAACCACGTAGGATGCGTAATTTTGTAGTTTTCAGAATTTTAATAAGTTAGGAAACAGGGTTACACTTATCGCCTAATACATTAATTTGGAGAGGTTACAATGTTACAATGCTGTTTGTATGAAGGGCCAGGGCCGGGCTGGCATGCATTAGCATGGAGCGGCCACGTTAGTTGTTTCGAGTTCGGGTCTTATTAGTATATTAACAGTCGTTCCATTGTTGCGACCCTAGTAAAGTAGTAAACCTTCAAAGCTTCAGCAAATCAGTAAATTACAAAGTTCTCATTACCGGTGTCCTCCTCTTTACAGTACCGATGTGTACAGTACTGTTATACTACACAAACACACACACACATACACGTTTAGTCTCACAGTGTCACAGTGTAACTAAAAGGAGAGGTACAGGTGTAACACTGTTACTTTTTAGTGTCACAAAAAGGAAGTGGCTTGTTTACCTTACGTAATGCCCACAGCAAATCATCACGTGTTTGAACGAGAGTGTCAGGGCAAGTGGGTCTGTCACGTACACTTTTGTCTCAGATAACGGACTTGTCGGAGTTCTAAAATCAATGTCACAATTTGTTACAGTTTGTTACAGTTGGTTGAACAGTCAAATTGTTACTTTGTCAATGAATTTCACTATTCGTTGTCAGTGAGTTTCACGATTCCTGGTCCCAGTATTTTTTGATGTCGTTTATTTCAATTATAGGCCATAACTAGAATTTTTAGATTGTTACTTCTGTCAAAAGCCATTTTATCATCGACGTCGAACAGATATCGGAATTGGTTGAAATACAACAATAAACACAAACAGTGCCCGATTCGCATCCCACTAAACGGTCAACTTGGCAATGTTCCAACTATTTACCTCTCATGCTGGCCTCCCACCTCCTGAATTCTCCCAAAGTTAGCCAGATCCTCCGAGATGCTCATAATTTTCGGCATAGTTCCGGACCTCTTCATGGAGTGATTTGAAACAGCGGATTTAGCCATCATAGCGTTGGGATGAGAAGTAGGCAGATAGAACTTCCACTCGACCATGGGGGTACCATCAGGGAGCCCCAGCTGAGCTACGTTAGTTATCGTATAGGCAATGTAGGAGCGCCTCATGTACACCTGGGGGAGGTTTGGGAGTGGAACTGGGGTTGAGATAAGAGTGTTATCTTGTTCAACCGAATTATAGATACGTCAGATATGAGTGTTAGTACGAGGGCGGTCCTAATTGGGTAATGTGTGGTTGCCTGGAAAACGTCACTGTGAGTTCCGAGTATCGGTCTCCACCGTTTCAAATTTCATGCAACAGTAAATCTTAATGATACGGCACGGGGGAATTTCAAGAATTCACACAGCAAAGTTCCTATAAACGTTACCTCCAGAGCAGCTTGTTTAACGAAAGTGTTGGTGTGGTAGAAAAGACAGGGCAGAACATCAAACATCATGATACTTGTAGTGATGAGCTGGTGATATTTAGCTTGGCAGATGTGGTCCTCAGTGTTTGCTGCAGCCAGGAAGATACTCTCGATCTGATTATATCTCATTTCGTAGGAGGGCTGGTGAGCTGTGATGAGGAACTGTCTGGCTTTCAGTGACACCTGGGGTGGGGAGGCGATTAGTTAGATAATCTCAATAATACCACAGGTGTGATGTCGTTTAGAGCTGGAATCAATTTAGTACCAGGATGATTATTTGGCAAGCGACACCTGCAGACTTGAGATGTTAAAATCAGGTACTGAGCAAACCGTGCTGAATGTCACGGTTTTACCTGAGCTCTTACGTTTTATCGACTTGTAGCTGGTTTGATCATGATGTTATTGGAAGATTGCCGTAATAAATAAAGATAGGTAGCATAAGTTCTATCAGAGATTACTAGCTAATCAAGTCAGCTGTTCGAGCGAATAAGTTTCGGTTATATTAATTCATGGTTCGTCGCAATATTCTGCAATTCAATACTAGATGTACCGTCAAGATTGGAACCGCTAACTTAACTTACTATTACTTATAGCGGGCATATTATGTTCGGCTGGCCATGCACCAGGGCAAATTACCATATAAACCATTTCTTTATTCTCAGTCTTTATGGTCTGGATGATTCATCTAGATGTTCATATTTTCTGATGTCAACGTTTCGATGTTACTGACTGTGATCACTGATCATATTCATTATTCATGTTCTAAAAAGATTTAAATCGAAATTTCAAAACGTAAAAAGGTAAATTTGAGGCAAGATTAGTGTATGAATTATTGATTCAAATCATCAAATTCAAACTCCTGCGTCAAAATCGTAACAAAATTAGTTCAATAAATAAAGTGAATGACAATTAGACGAATAGTTTGTCGCCTAGAATACTTGATACATTCTATTTTTTAAAGAAGAGTGTCCCTATTCCTCTAGAAAAGATTGTATGATTTTGATTCTTTTGATAATGAATTAAATATGTTGCATACGATTTTTGACTAAGCAAGTTGTTTAATTTAATGATTTAAAAAAATGAATAAATTATACACTAATCTAACAGCAGATTTATATTTTTACGTTATAGGCAGCTACATCGAAAAGTTTACGATCTACCTTTCACTAAAAATAACAATACGTGATTTCTGGAAATTTCAAACACTCAACAATAATGTTAATGCATGCTAAAATTAATGCAAAGAAAATAAAATACAGTTAGGCCTCGGTTCGTGGACGCGAGTTGTTTTGAAATAAATATGAAAGATTTTCGCTTGTTATGTTGCGACGCAGTAGTTAATTTAGCCGCAGTATGCAACACAGGTCACCATACAAAAACTTCTTATTAATCTTCAGCAGGTTCATCATTCATCAAATAAACACGGTCATATTTAATACCGATCTTTGATTAATTTGCAAAACTACTGGACCAGTTTTACGGAGATATAATTATAAACGTTTGTCTGTTCATGATAATAAATATCAGCACCTTCTAGTAGTATCAAAACAGATGGGGTCCGGTGACCAATGACCATCGCGTCGTTCATAATAATCGTTTTCAGGGATAATGTTGGGCACTTAAGGTCGTAAATGGTCGTTCATTTTCGGTTTTTTACAGTTCATTATAATATCTAAATTTCATTTAAATCGCATTTTTGTTTTGACACAGCGATGTCGTTGTCTACAAGTACAAGTCATACATATTACTTAAGTGCCGCTATTTTCCTAACAATAATTATATGAAAAATTCACGTTTATTTATAATTAATTTTACCTGATGGTATTCGGGGCCGGCTAGATTAGCCAGATCCTCCAGGATGGACTTCAGTTCGTCCGTCAGTATTGAGAGTTTGTTGCCGTTTTTAGTGACCTCCTCCAGCAGCTCCAGTACCAGCTGGTTCTTGTTCTCCAGGTTGGCGTGGGAGAATATCACCTGACAATATATTCATTGCAATGATACATATTATATTAACAGAGAGAGAGAGAGAGATAGAGAGAGAGAGAGAGAGAGAGAGAGAGAGAGAGAGAGAGAGAGAGAGAGAGAGAGAGAGAGAGAGAGAGAGAGAGAGAGAGAGAGAGAGAGACAGAGACAGAGAGAGAGAGACAGAGACAGAGATAGAGAGACAGAGAGAGAGAGAGACAGAGACAGAGACAGAGACAGAGACAGAGACAGAGAGAGAGAGAGAGAGAGAGAGAGAGAGAGAGAGAGAGAGAGAGAGAGAGAGAGAGAGAGAGAGAGAGAGAGAGAGAGAGAGAGTGAGAGAGAGAGAGAGAGAGAGAGAGAGAGAGAGAGAGAGAGAGAGAGAGAGAGAGAGAGAGAGAGAGAGAGAGAGAGAGAGAGAGAGAGAGAGAGAGACAGAGAGACAGAGACAGAGACAGAGAGACAGAGAGACAGAGAGAGAGAGAGACAGAGAGACAGAGAGACAGAGAGAGAGAGAGAGACAGAGAGAGAGAGAGAGAGAAAGAGAGAGAGAGAGAGAGATACATATTAACGTAGTCAGAGCTCAGGGATTACTGGTGGGACAATACCTTACAAGACATATTGGGGGGGGTGTCATGTCCGTCTATGTCCGCCTATGTCCTGTCCTTTTTGGATTCTATGAGACAACGGACGTGTTTTTTGGGACATTGGCGGACACGGACGGACATTGGCGGACTCGGACGGACATTGGCGGACTCGGACGGACTTGGATGGACATTGGTGGACATTAGCGGACATTGGTGGACATTAGCGGACAAACATTTTGAGGACTGAAGAGTACTGAGGAGGATGGCTGAGAAGGATGGCTGAGGAGGATGGCTGAGGAGGATGACTGAGGAGGATGACTGAGAGGGAGGAGAAGGATCAGGAAGACCCAGGAGGAGGAGGAGGAGGAGGACCCAGAAGGAGGACCTAGGAGGAGGAGGAGGAGAACTGAGGAGGATGACTGAGGAGGAGGAGGATGGCTGAGGAGGATGACTGAGAGGGAGGAGGAGGAGGAAGAGGAGGAAGAGGACTGAGGAGGAGGAGGAGAAGGACTGAGGAGGAGAAGGAGGACCCAGGAGGAGGAGGACCCAGGAGGAGGACCCAGGAGGAGGACCCAGGAAAAGGTCCCAGGAGGAGGAGGAGGACTGGGGAGGAGGAGAACTGTTGAGGACTGATGAGGAGGACTGAGGACGGGGAGGAAGAGTAGGAGGAGGACTGAGGAGGGGAGGAGGAAGAGGACTGGGGAGGATGGCTGAGAAGGATGGCTGAGGAGGATGGCTGAGGAGGATGACTGAGGAGGATGACTGAGGAGGATGACTGAGTGGGAGGAGAAGGATCAGGAAGACCCAGGAGGAGGAGGAGGAGGAGGACCCAGAAGGAGGACCTAGGAGGAGGAGGAGGAGAACTGAGGAGGATGACTCAGGAGGAGGAGGACTCAGGAGGAGGCACGAGGAGGACTGAGAAGGAGGAGGACTGAGGAGGACCCAGGAGGAGGACCCAGGAAAAGGCCCCAGGAGGAGGAGGAGGACTGGGGAGGAGGAGAACTGTTGAGGACTGACGAGGAGGACTGAGGACGAGGAGGAAGAGTAGGAGGAGGACTGAGGAGGAGGAGAACTGTTGAGGACTGATGAGGAGGACTGAGGACGAGGAGGAAGAGTAGGAGGAGGACTGAGGAGGGGAGGAGGAAGAGGACTGGGGAAGATCAGGAAGACCCAGGAGGACCCAGGAGGAGGAGGAGGAGGAGGACCCAGGAGGAGGAGGAGGACTGAGGAGGACTGTGGCGGAGGACTGACGATGACTGAGAAGGAGGAGGACTGAGGAGTACTGAGGAGGATGGCTGAGGAGGATGGCTGGGGAGGATGGCTGAGGAGGATGACAGAGGAGGATGACTGAGAGGGAGGAGGAGGACTCGGGAGGAGGACTCAGAAGGAAGAGGAGGAGGACTCAGGAGGAGGACTCAGGAGGAGGACTTAGGAGAAATGAGAAGGAGGACTGAGGAGAACTGAGGAGGAGGAGGAGGAGGAGGACTGAATAGGAGGAGGAGAAGGAGGGGGACTGGGAGAGGACTGGGGAGGATGACTGAGAGGGAGGAGAAGGATCAGGAAGACCCAGGAGGAGGAGGAGGAGGAGGACCCAGAAGGAGGACCTAGGAGGAGGAGGAGGAGAACTGAGGAGGATGACTGAGGAGGAGGAGGATGGCTGAGGAGGATGACTGAGAGGGAGGAGGAGGAGGAAGAGGAGGAAGAGGACTGAGGAGGAGGAGGAGAAGGACTGAGGAGGAGAAGGAGGACCCACGAGGAGGAGGACCCAGGAGGAGGACCCAGGAGGAGGACCCAGGAAAAGGCCCCAGGAGGAGGAGGAGGACTGGGGAGGAGGAGAACTGTTGAGGACTGATGAGGAGGACTGAGGACGGGGAGGAAGAGTAGGAGGAGGACTGAGGAGGGGAGGAGGAAGAGGACTGGGGAGGATGGCTGAGAAGGATGGCTGAGGAGGATGGCTGAGGAGGATGACTGAGGAGGATGACTGAGGAGGATGACTGAGAGGGAGGAGAAGGATCAGGAAGACCCAGGAGGATGACTGAGAGGGAGGAGAAGGATCAGGAAGACCCAGGAGGAGGAGGAGGAGGAGGACCCAGAAGGAGGACCTAGGAGGAGGAGGAGGAGAACTGAGGAGGATGACTGAGGAGGAGGAGGACTCAGGAGGAGGCACGAGGAGGACTGAGAAGGAGGAGGACTGAAGAGGACCCAGGAGGAGGACCCAGGAAAAGGCCCCAGGAGGAGGAGGAGGACTGGGGAGGAGGAGAACTGTTGAGGACTGATGAGGAGGACTGAGGACGAGGAGGAAGAGTAGGAGGAGGACTGAGGAGGAGAGGAGGAAGAGGACTGGGGAAGATCAGGAAGACCCAGGAGGACCCAGGAGGAGGAGGAGGAGGAGGACCCAGGAGGAGGAGGAGGACTGAGGAGGACTGTGGAGGAGGACTGACGATGACTGAGAAGGAGGAGGACTGAGGAGTACTGAGGAGGATGGCTAAGGAGGATGGCTGGGGAGGATGGCTGAGGAGGATGACTGAGGAGGATGACTGAGAGGGAGGAGGAGGACTCAGGAGGACTCAGGAGGAGGACTCAGAAGGAAGAGGAGGAGGACTCAGGAGGAGGACTCAGGAGGAGGACTTAGGAGAAATGAGAAGGAGGACTGAGGAGAACTGAGGAGGAGGAGGAGGAGGAGGACTGAATAGGAGGAGGAGAAGGAGGGGGACTGGGAGAGGACTGGGGAGGAGGAGGACTGATGAGAAGGATGAGGAGGAGGACCCAGGAGGAGGAGGACTGAGGACCGAGGAGGAAGAGGAGGAGGATGAAGAGGAGGAGGAGGACCCAGGAGGAGGAGGACTGAGGAGGACTGAGGAGGATGGCTGAGGAGGATGACTGAGAGGGAAGAGGAGGAGGAGGACCGAGGAGGACTGAGAAGGAGGAGGAGGAGGACTGAATAGGAGGAGGAGGAGGGGGACTGGGGGAGGACTGAGGAGGAGGATGGAGGACTGAGGAGAAGGATGAGGAGGAGGACTGAGGAGGACTGAGGAGGAGGATGAAGAGGAGGAAGAGGAGGACCCAGGAGGAGGACTCAGGAGGAGGAGGAGGACTGGGGAGGAGGAGGACTGTTGAGGACTGATGAGGAGGACTGAGGACGAGGAGGAGGAGAAGGAGGAGGACTGAGGAGGGGAGGAGGAAGAGGACTGAGGAAGATCAGAAAGACCCAGGGGGAGGAGGAGGAAGAGTAGGAGGAGGAAGCATCTAAATGTTATTTCCATTTTTGTCCGTTTTTGTCCATTTTTGTCCGTTTTTGTCCGCTCTATTTTTTGTCCGTTTTGAAAATATAGGGTACCGAACGGACAAAAAACATGATCCCCTATAACAGCAAAAATTGAACATTTTATTTAGCAATTTAGGTGTCCATTAATGTCCGCCTATTTCCGCCTATGTCCGTCTATGTCCGTCTATGTCCGCCTATGTCCGCCTATGTCCGCCTATGTCCGTCTATGTCCTGTCCTTTTTGGATTCTATGAGACAAGCGGACATAGACGGACGTGACACCCCCCCCCATATTTATGTGGATCATAATTAGCGGGGATCGAAATTATGGGGGAACGAAAATATGGGGATTTTTTCAGAAATTCAGTAATTCAGTACGAAATTTCAGAAATTCAGTACGAAAATATGGGGATTTTTTTCCATTTTGTCCAAAAATCCCCGAATTTCGTACCATATAAATATGTCTCGTAAGGTATAATATATTGCTATTGTGGTCAGGTTAGACGCACATGGTTATTAATGGTTATATACGTCTGAAGTAAGTTTATTAGATTTAGTCTAGTACGTAAGAATATAATAAATTAATCGATTTTCCTCGCCGGATTTATCAGAAATATTGCAGTCCAACAATGGTCAATCTAGAAAATTTGTCCGTCATTAATGCATCGATACATCATTTCTATCTCGACCGATAAAAATTGATTTATCAGCCTGTGATTAGGTGGAAGTGTCGAAACGGTAATTTTACCGATAACAACATTTGGATAAGTCCGTCAAAGTCAAAGGGATTCTACGGTTGATAATGAGACTTCAAACCACTGGACCTTGACAAGGTTATCGACACAGCCACTTCTCTGTAAATCCGAGCTATGGTAGAATTTCATCAACCACAGCTCCGGCGCTAAATTTCGTAACTAAATTTCGCCCTTAGTTCTAGCTTTAAATGTTGATATTTTTAATCGTTACAACTTGGCAATCTCAAAATTTCAAATAGAATGCCTATCACAGAATTTTGAATAGTCAGCTTATTTCTTTGCTTGAATTAAAATTAAATTACCATAAAAATGTCTTTGCACACGTGTTTACAATATTCGTCTAACAAGAATAATGAACGCTTTCTTACCGACAAGACTTCCTTGATGTCCCCATCCTTCATCTCTTCCTTGAGTTTAGAGACACACTTGTCATAAGGTCCACCAGCAAAGTAGTTCTCATGACTCAGATAAGTCCTCAGTATCTTGTACAAAACTGACTTTAAGTGTCCTTTAACTCCTTTGCGGTATCTTATTACCAGATCTGTGATGCCCTGAATAAAGTGTTAGTTAAAGAAATTAAATTTAAATGACCGCTTTGAATCGAATTTCATTCATTTTGTCACCAGGACCACGTTGCAACCGGGACGTCGCCAAGCAATTCATGTTAAGTTGTGACCTCAACCATCGCAAAGATTTGAAATAACCGTTGATGAGACAGCTTGGCTTTTATTTGCTCCGCACTCCATTTGGTGTCATTGGTTCTACTTATTAGGATATGTTTTTCGTTTTGACTGATATGTCACTGTACTAAATTAACGCTAAGATTAGAAACCCAAAAATAATTCGATGCTATGGATCGAAAATCCCTTGTTCAATTAACGAAAAACCATATATAATAAGTGAGGCGACGTCACGTGATCCCAACCACCGCAAAACCTCAAAATAGGGGTGGGCACGAAAATGCAAATTTTCCAAATTTTTAAACGGCCCTGTTTTTTGGGTAAAGGGACCTCCAAAATGAAAAAATAACTTGGTTTAGGGTCAAAAAAGCCCAAAATAAATATTTCCCGCCCCGTTTTCGGTTAGCGGGAGGGTCATTTTTGACGTTTTTGACTAAAATTGGCTTTATTTAATTTATTTTCACCTTTTACACCTCATTGTTACCCATGATTGTGAATCATTATTGACAAACCAGGTAGGGTGAATGATTTCAGCCATCTAAAAATTTTCTGAAGACCCCCAGGGTGCCCGTATCCATAGAAACGGGTCGTTTTGAAAACATTTAAGCGAAATCAGCCAAAATGTTTGTTTTTACCCCTTTTTGCCATTCAAAGACTTTTAACATGGCCAAAAGTATCCAGAAAGACCATTATTGTATATTGTAACTTGTATGCCAACTATAAAAGGTATAAAAACATGATGTTAGGTGTTTTAGTGGTATTTTTGGGCCTTAGCAACGCCTAGCAACGGGGCGTTTTAGGCATTTTAGAGGTTAATACATGTCATTTTAATATCTTACACTCTATTGTTACTAATGAATGTTGATTATTATTAACATACCAGGTAGGGTTGATGATTTCAAGCTTCCAGAGCTCATCTGGAGGCATATTGGGTGCCCGTAACCATGGAAACTCGTCTTTTTTACGAAAAATTGAGATTTCGGTGAAAATTAGGGTTTTTATAACTTTATCCATAAATATTATACTAGTTATCCTTTATAAACCCTATGACAGTTGTGTATTGGGAGATAAAATGGTAACTAATGTCTAACACTTCAGGGAGATAAGTTTTCCCACTATTTAGGCCCCTAGCAACCCATAGCAACGACGATTTACATGCAAAATAAGGCATAAAATACCACTATTTGACCCAAAACTGCTGAAAATTGACCTGGGTCATGGTAACAACGGTTTAAAACAGTAAAGTGATTACAATTAAACTATTGATGTTAGGGTTCCTCACTATGTAGGCCCCTAGCAACCCATAGCAACACCTAGTTACGTGAGTCTTGGTCGTACCTTCAATACCGATTGTCTGTAAGGTGTGAGTGCCTTTCCTAACTTGCCAAATCCTGGCAAATCCAGTAACGTGTAGATCCTTTAACAAAACTCATGAAAGTTATGGTTGCAGAATCCCCATTCACACTGAGGACCTCCCCTGGGTAAGATGTATCCTCAAACAGCCCTATTACACAGTTGTTCTTCTTAGGAGGCGAACTCTCATCAGTTTCACCACACTAAACTTGATCTGGATAACTATGACCAATAGAATGGGGCTGTAAAGTGTAAGGGTTCTAACTGCTCTTCAACAACTCTGGGGCTTGACTTGGTAACTGGGAGATCCTCTACATTTACTGGGGCAATACTTTTACCCTGATAGCCAATGATAGCAGCCTCCAGATCGTCTACTTCATATCCTTCCTGGCCTATATCATGACCTATTAACTTACCCAAAGGATTTGACATCGCTTGATTTTCGTTCGTGCCCTCCCTTTCCTCCAGTCATACTGGCTGTATCAATTCGATCAGAAGACCATCCTTACGAGGTCGATGTTTGTAAGTTACATTTTAAGACATTCAAATTTGAAGGGGAACAGAAGCAGTCACTCAAGAGTGTGTTCCAGCAGGAAGCTGACTTGCTGTGTGAAGAAACCAAGGTGGTGGAAGTTATTACAAAATGTAAAGCTTCACACGTTCTACAAGATCTTGTTTAAACAATTGGCTAGCTAAACCGGTATCAGAAAAGCCCCAGAGTTGTTGAAGAGCAGTGAGAACCCTTACAGCCCCATTCTATTGGTCATGGTAATCCAGATCAAGTTCAGTTTGGTAATACTGAGTTTGCCATGTAAGAAGAACAACTGTGTAATAGGGCTGTTTGAGGATACATCTTACCCAGGGGAGGTCCTCAGTGTGAATGGGGATTCTGCAACCATAACTTTCATGAGTTATGTTAAAGGATCTACACGTTACTGGATTTGCCAGGATTTGGCCAGCTAGGAAAGGCACCCAGACCTTACAGAGACAATCAGTATTGAAGGTACGACCAAGACTGGAGGTCTCACAAATGAATACGGTCCATTTTGTCATTATATTTGATTTTGTTAACCATGACGATGTTCAAAAATGGTCAAAAGTTAAGACTTTTAATTTCAAATTTCGATTGAAAGCAATTAAAGTCAAGTTCTAAAATAGTTTATTTGATATTGTAACATAAAATTTAACAATTGTTGAAAATTTGACATTCTAGTTTTTACTCGTGTCACGTAACTAGGTGCTGCTATTGGTTGCTATGGGCCTATGCCCTACATAGTGAGGAACCCTAACATCAATAGTTCAATTGCAACCATAACTTTCATGAGTTCTGTTAAAGGATCTACACGTTACTGGATTTGCCAGGATTTGGCAAGTTAGGAAAGGCACTCACACCTTACAGACAATCGGTATTGAAGGTACGACCAAGACTCACGTAACTAGGTGTTGCTATGGGTTGCTAGGGGCCTACATAGTGAGGAACCCTAACATCAATAGTTTAATTGCAACCATAACTTTCATGAGTTCTGTTAAAGGATCTACACGTTACTGGATTTGCCAGGATTTGGCAAGTTAGGAAAGGCACTCACACCTTACAGACAATCGGTATTGAAGGTACGACCAAGACTCACGTAACTAGGTGTTGCTATGGGTTGCTAGGGGCCTACATAGTGAGGAACCCTAACATCAATAGTTTAATTGTAATCACTTTACTGTTTTAAACCGTTGTTACCATGACCCAGGTCAATTTTCAGCAGTTTTGGGTCAAATAGTGGTATTTTATGCCTTATTTTGCATGTAAATCGTCGTTGCTATGGGTTGCTAGGGGCCTAAATAGTGGGAAAACTTATCTCCCTGAAGTGTTAGACATTAGTTACCATTTTATCTCCCAATACACAACTGTCATAGGGTTTATAAAGGATAACTAGTATAATATTTATGGATACCTAAAGTTATAAAAACCCTAATTTTCACCGAAATCTCAATTTTTCGTAAAAAAGACGAGTTTCCATGGTTACGGGCACCCAATATGCCTCCAGATGAGCTCTGGAAGCTTGAAATCATCAACCCTACCTGGTATGTTAATAATAATCAACATTCATTAGTAACAATAGAGTGTAAGATATTAAAATGACATGTATTAACCTCTAAAATGCCTAAAACGCCCCGTTGCTAGGCGTTGCTAAGGCCCAAAAATACCACTAAAACACCTAACATCATGTTTTTATACCTTTTATAGTTGACATACAAGTTACAATGTACAATTATGGTCTTTCTGGATACTTTTGGCCATGTTAAAAGTCTTAGAATGGCAAAAAGGGGTAAAAACAAACATTTTGGCTGATTTCGCTTAATTTTTTTTCAAAACGACCCGTTTCTATGGATACGGGCACCCTGGGGGTCTTCAGAAAATTTTTAGATGGCTGAAATCATTCACCCTACCTGGTTTGTCAATAATGATTCACAATCATGGGTAACAATGAGGTGTAAAAGGTGAAAATGAATTAAATAAAGCCAATTTTAGTCAAAAAAGTCAAAAATGACCCTCCCGCTAACCGAAAACGGGGCGGGAAATATTTATTTTGGGCTTTTTTGACCCCAAACCAAGTTATTTTTTCATTTTGGAGGTCCCTTTACCCAAAAAACAGGGCCGTTTAAAAATTCATGACATCACCCAAAAATATTGCTATCCGTGCCCACCCCTACTCAAAACTACTTTTGAATATTTAAATTTTAAACATTACTCCTCCAACCTGAGTCTGCATATAGAAAGCATCTCTGTCCTGCTTGTTCTCAATGCTTGCCGCGTGATTATCCAGGACACTAGCAATAGCCTGGCCTGGGAACTGAGCCACTATAGAGTTGAGATGGTTGCTGTAGTGTGATAACAGACTGTGTATCTCGTATTCCACCTGATTAAGGGATAGTTTCAGTAATATGGGTCTTCGTTATAAGTCAAGTACTATTTCTAATTTTATTTGTAATGAATTTGTATTTTGTAGATATTTCTAAATATACGCACCTTAAGGAATAATCGCATATTATGTAAGTCAGCCTAAGGTTGGGGGGGGGGGGGGGGGGGGGGTATTGTAGTATATAATGTATCTAGTAGTGTATAGTGTATAGTGTATAGTAGTGTATAGTAGTGTATAGTGTATAGTGTATAGTGATATTGTAGTGTATACCTGCACTGGAATACGCCCGGAGAGAGCAGACAGAAGCTCCTCGCATTCGTAAAGAGGTAGTGATGGATCCTTCAGAGTAGAGTAGAGCAACTTTACACTGTCCTGCAATATCTTCGAGAAGTGCTGAAAATATATCTGTAGGATTTTGAGTTTACTAATTATTGTACCCTTCCCTCACAAGTACATACCTTATAAAACTTAATTAACCTTCAACTTAATTTGCCTTTCTCACGTTCAAGCAGGGCCTGACATCTCATTCTAATTATCTCTCGACCGTGGCCTGTACGGGGGGGGTTTCAAAGGAGGTTGACTCGGGAATGAACCAAGTTTTGATAGACTTCAATCTAGAAATTGTCAGGTAGTCACGGTTGGAGTAAACCAAGTTTCGGTTTCAATCTAGAAATTGTTTGACAGTGCGTGATGTCTACATAGCTAGAGGTACCGTACTCATACCCAGGACCCCAGGTACTGTTATTGTCAACAAAAGGGGATGTCACGTGAGAATTCAGTAGTAACATCAAGAGGCTTCTGATTAATGGCAAGAGTAACCCCGCTACCAGCTGGGCTTGGAATAGTCATCTTGTTCAAGGTGCTCAACAGTGCTGGTCGGTCCTCTCGAACTATTAAAAGTGTGAATCATGGCTTGTGAGTTGTAAAGTTGAGTGTGTGAGTGATGATTGAGATGTATGTTGTCAGTTGTGTGAGTTAACTTTACATGTCAATGCCATTAAACCATTTAAAACTGTTTTTTTGTTTGTTCTCAAGTCCCAATTAGTGCGTTCAGTGTACTGTGAACTACTAATTTCATGGTTTACTTCCTAAATCCTGTAGCCAGGTTACTTATCTAGTATTGCCACGTTAGATCATAACAATCAGCTGCAGTCATCACCACCTACCAACACTTACCACCACCTGGACGATGTATTGTTAGATCGGGTGACGTCATGGTACCTCTGGTGACGTCATCAAATTTGGTCCCTGCCGATTCATTTTAAATTAATTTTGTAGAGAAAGCAGGTCTCCGAGCAGATGGTATTGTCCAAGAATCATCAATATTGGTGTTGCAATTTAGAAACCGGATGTCTACAGAAATTTGATTTTTTAATTATACGATCAAAACTAGCTTATATTTGAATGTTGAAGTTTCGATTTTGTCTGCAGGAATATGATTTTTTAATCATACGATCAAAGGTAGCTTATATTTGAATGTTGAAATTTGAATTTTTCTCATGCAGAAACATGATTTTCAAAATCGGAGAATCAAATCAAGCTTATATTTGAATACTAAAGTTTGAATTTGTGACATTTTCCGCTGCAATGGGTATTCTCCAGAAAGTCCTTATTCAAAGTGCAATTTAGGGATTGGTTGTTTGAGAGACAGATAAAATAGGTGGCCTACAAGTACAACACATTGCTCGCATTGCTTTGTATTGCGACATGTGCCACCACAGTTTGGTACTCTGTTATTTATACTGGAGTGTATCTACCACTTACTACTCTAGTATAGTCAGAGTACTGGAGACACCAAGCTCTTTGCTCTGCTACACTCTATGACACGTGTTGATGCTTTCATCCTAACCAGTTCTTTTCACAATACCTTGGGAAGGTGGGGGGGGGGGGGGGGGGAAGTGTTTTTGTTTGTCCTTTGCCGAGACAGCTTTATTTCTTGTCTTTCGCCGGTATTGTTAATTTTGTAATCCACACGAGCAAACCTAAATGTTTAACAGCCTAACAACTTCTCCTCGTTTTCAGGTCAATGGTTAATTAGCAATTAGCTTATTAGATAATTAGGTCAACTATTCGAAATTGAGGTTATGGTTATTGTTGGGGTTGACTCAAGAAAATTTGTCTTCTAGGCTTATTATTCATAATTGCCCTTTCCAAAACCATTCCCTAAATCAATTTCGAAGATTCGACCTGAATCCAATTAGCTAATTGACGATTAACCAGCGACTTGAACAACCGACCAACACACCAATCTAGAACCGGTCAACAACCGGCCAACAACCGGTCAACAACCGGTCAACAACCGATATAGAGCCGGTTAATGACCTATGTACGTCTGTTCTACACCAGAGCGAGCAGTACATCCCTACTATCATGTAACTTAATTCCCTCAAGATAGGATGAGATGAACGGATCAGTCCATTCGAACATTACGAACCCAAACCCGAGTCCAGAGCATTGCAACCTGGTCTGGCTGGATAAAACTCTGGCCTGTTTTATGCTAACTGTTAGTGTGTTTGGCGGCATCGGCAATTTATTCTCCTTCAGGTATGGTATTAGGGATCTTAAAAGCTTACCTTCAGATTTTTCTTAGTGCTAATATTAATAACAATAACATTTTAGCTATCAAATATCCAGTCGTCAAAATTATCAATGTTATATTCGACGAGATTTGAGGATAAGAACCGATAACTTTGCCAGGTCTATATTTGGGCCGTGGTTCCAACTTCACATCTTCTTTTCAGGTACTTTCTCCGGCGACGTAAAAGTGCAGCAACAACAGTGTACCGTGTAATAACAATAACAGACGCCATCTCCTGCCTCAACGCCTACCCAGTCATCAGTACCCTGCTAAACAACAGGAACCCCGGTCCCTTCTCCCACTACTACTTCTGCCAATTCTGGGGTATCACATGGGAGCCGCTCCCTTACTTTTCTGTTTTCCTGGTTCTCCTTATCAGTGTGCTGAGGACAGTAGGACTGGTCAAGCCTCTTGTTAGGATATCCAAAAAGAAAGTAGCTATTGCCATGGTTGTGTACGCTTTGTTTCTAATGGTCAGGTTTCTGACTGGAACTGTGTTATTTGGGGCGTACGAGTACGACTACACCAGCTCCTACAGCTACATTCACATTCACAATGAGACCTATCAGTGGCTGGACCTGTATCTAGCTATGGTTCTCCTCATGTTACCAATCCTACCAATAATAATATCAGCTGCTATTACATCTTACTTTGTGCTCAGAAGTGGCCTCAAACTCCACGCCAAGACTCGATCTCCCCAGAAAAGCAGCACCCGGTCAAAGCGCCACGCAACCGTCACAGTGCTGATCTTCACTTTAGTTTACATCGCTTGTAACATTCCAGTTACCATAACAATAGTGTGGTTCAGCACTCTGGTATTCACCGACTTCACTAAAGACATCTTCAGATCCCTTAACATTGCCCTCTTTACCAAGTACTATATCTGGCCGACTACCTTTGTTATCCTGGTTCAACTTAACGCTGGGATAAACCCCATAATTTATTTTCTGAGGATGTTAGAGTTCAGGAGTGCAGTGGGGAACGGAGGAGCAACCACCGGTGGGAGGGTGGGACTCAGGAATGTGGTGGTGAAGTTTAGTGACAGTGTCAGGAGGTTATCTAGTGTCAGCATGAGGAATGATATGAGTGTGGATGATAACAATGATATCATTTTCGTGAACAATCAGTTCAAACTCACTGAGCTACCCGAGGGACGGGAGGTTTTGTAACTCGGTGCGAGATTTATTTTGGTTTTTAATTAGGTAACATAAACTATCTGTCTTGTTACGGGACTCTGTTTAAAGAAAACAACTTTGTACGAGTCTGTAATCTTTGTGGAATGTGGAAACACCATTCACTGAGTTTCAGCCCCATACAACAGCTGGTGATAAACAGACTGGTAACGTCAGCTCAGTCTACTAAAACTAACGAGTGCTCCACTTCAAATTCGTGGTATAGATCGTATTACCCTGATGAGCTTACAGCTAAATTTATTGTCCTTGAATGCGTCTCAATGTCTCATTAACAGTAGTAGAGCGAGCATTCAGCGTGGTTTAGAAACATCTTAGCAAAGCTGCCGTGACAACGTCGTAAAATATCTTAATTTTTGTCACGTGACATGGTCTGAGAGATGAAAGTTGACAATTTAAAAATGGGTATTTGTTCTGATCACATGGTAATGGAGCTGAGGTTGAGAGTCCCAGGTTGACTAACATATTTGTGTTAAACATGTGTGTTTTGTTAATCATGATCTGGTACCAGCATAGCCATATACTTGAAAATTGAAATTGATTATGAGCTAATTACATTGTTTATCGATTGATCGAAATGAAATTATTTTGTCAATTAACCATTAAATAATATCTAATTTTTTAGTACATAGCTTAAAACTGACAGATCATGAGAATGTTGTCATGTGGTGGGATGATAATGAAAGTTGGCACATTGTACAGACACAGTTGGTATGTGCCAGTCTTAGCAACTCGTCAGCAATAAGTTTATCAGACACCTCATTAAGATAGGAAGTAACGTTTCTCAATTAACTTGGTAAATTTCTAATGTGCAAGGTATCTGACAAAATGGAAGAATTATTTTCTGTCGTACGTCCAAAAGCTAGGAATAGAAGAATAAGTCAGGGCATCAAGTTGAACTTAATTTACAACAAGACAACAGGAATATCTAGAGAAAGGAGCGCACCTCATCTGGGAAGGTGTACCCAGTAATGATGTTCTCCAGTAGGTTGAGAGTGTGCCTATAGATCTGGTGTAGTTTCCTGCCGTGACTGTAGTCGTTAGACGAGTATTCTGGTAAACCAACCGTGCACAGCTCAGCCTGGAATTGCACGTGATGAGATATAAATAGAAATATTTTTATATTTCTATTTGCGATTACAAAACTAATGCGAGTGCAATTACAAAACTAATTTCACTGTTTTGAGAGCAACCTAAAACATATTCGGTGCGATTACAAAACTAATCACACTGATTTTCTGAAAGATACTGTGATATATCTGTCCAGTATAATAGGCAGTTAGATTAGCGTATATATAAAAATATCACTCATAACATCAAGCATTATATAATATAATACCTTGATATCTTAATATCTTAATTCTACAAATAATAATATCTTTTACATCTTAACTCTACAATTAATAGAAATAGCCCGGGTGAAACATACTAAAGACCCCCAAAAACCTTGACGACAGAGGAAGGGTCGTCTAACTCCAAAGTTCCCAGGACTGTACCAGGATTCAGGATGCTTCCCGCGTTCTGCTCGAACGTTATGCACCCAGCAAGGGGGGCCACTATCGGCATTATCATCTTCATGACCTCTATCTCTGCGAAGGGTTGTCCTGCGTCTACGTGCTCGCCATTATTTACATTGAATCTCATCAGCTTACCTGCTGATGTGGACCTGAGAGATTAGTTGTTAAAACACCTTGCAATCAGCTGATACTGATAAGCTGATAGCACGAATTAACTTCGCGAAATGTTGATCACCCCACTTTCAACAATATTTTCGATCTTTAATCTTTAATGATCTGCACTGTTTAGTGTTAAACAAGTTCTAGAGTCTTGATTCTGTAAGATTTATTTAACACTAAACAGCGGCCAATGAGGTGACAATATCGTTACTGACTACTTGCAAGCACACTTCCGCTTTGTTGTCACATTATATCCTGAGTTACAAGATAATATCTGCACCAAGATATTTGATATGCTTCATGTAGATATCACAGATAAACCTTCAACCTGCAACTTGCAACATGATATTGTGTAAAAGTTAAACAACTACCTGATAACAGTAGGATCATTATCCTTCTCGAAGATACAAGTTTTGCCCCCGATCACAACCCGATACCCAGACACTTCCTCCTTCATGTGAGTCGTGTAGCTGTTACCTCCGAATATGACAAGGTGGCCCCCGTCGTTCAGTCTGTGTAAATCAACCTGTAAATAAACATAATCATTGTAATGGTACTAGTGTTATATTATTATACCGTATACTGTATTATTATACCGTATGCTGTGCAGCTCATACTAAATCGAGACTCAAGTAGCATATTAATTATTTAATCATATTGTCGCCTTCACCAGTCTCGAATTACTCCATATATAAAGGTAACTGGTACATATCTGTCAATGCTCGCATCAGTAATTAAGGTAATACTAATTAAGGTATTACAATTTTGCTACCTTACACTAATGCTGGTCACAGATTTTCAGCACACTATGTTATTCATAACTTCACATTACTACTAAAAACCGTTTTAATAATGCTAACCGTAATCTACTCCTTTTAAGCCTAGTACTTATATTATTACGACTTAACACCGTCTACCCTTCAATACGGATGTATCTTACTGAGCACTGCTCACTGTACCTGTCTTAACTTACTTAACTCTCTCCACAATAATATACTATCTTATCTTGAGTCCATCTCCGTTATAATTATCATCGTTAATTAAGTAAAGAATATACGATACATTTAGATGTGACATCGTTTAAATACCGTAACTGTAAAGTTATAATGGCGTCACTTTAAAGTTTAAACAACAATCCAGTCAATTTACCTCCATGGACGAGTTGTTCATAGCGAGATGGTAGGAGTTGTGGCTGGTCTGGGCAGCTTGTAGCTTGTACTTAATATTATCATAACACAGGTCCACATCAACTATACAGCTCAGGTGCTTGAGATTCATTATCTGTCCCCTGGGATTACACATCATTATGGGGTATAATCTGAATCATATCCAAACTAAATAATGTTAATGTTACTCAGTAGTCTGTACATTGTACATTATGGGATCTTATAGGTGAGAAGTTATCATTATTGAATAGTTTCTAGAAAGAGGATTATAGCCACAATTATAGCCACAATCCACATGGACTGGAAAGTAAAATCACGTACCGTGGATTAGTTGTGACTAGGCCTTAATTCAATCTTAATCTCATCAAATACTCCTTTGTAAATGAGACGAATTAACAAACTATGCAGTAGGAAATAAAGCAGAGTATAAAGACTTACCTTTCCAGAGCAGATCTGAATGAGTTGTATCGAGACTGGATGGCATTATCAGCAATGTGTAGAGTACAGCAGATAACAGCCAGCATTGTGTCTACTTTCTCTGATCTTCTCTTGTTTGCTATCAGCATGTCAAGCCAACCTGGGTAGGATATATTATGTTCAGAAATAAGCCTGGGTTGAAGATGTTGATCGCAATAGTTATCTAATTAATAGCAATAATTAGCTAATTAAAAGCAACTTCCCGATAAATATAATCACCAATTAATGGAGATTAGCACAAGAAATTTATAAAAAATGTTTCATAAGAGAATAAATTTCAAGATTGAAGAGAGATCCTTTCAGTAAACATACCAGTATCATAGTCATTGTGACAGAACTCTTCCATCTCCAGAATAGTAATGAGGAATTCGATTGTAGTTCTAAAGTCTGATTTAATGCTTAGTTCTTTGAGCGCCATCACCATGTTCCTGGATAAAATAAGTTACGTTATTAACTGTAACTTTTATAAATGCTCTATAAAGCAAACTAGTATTAAGTATAATTGTGCATATTATGTACTTAACTGTACAAAATAGATTTAAGCTTTATACGTAAAGAGATTTACCAGTAAATTGTATTTTTAAGCTCTCGTACGTGTACACTGTACTAAAAATAGGAGATATCTTTACTCCAGAAATAGCTCTCGTACGTGTACTAAAGAAAAGGAATCTGAACTTTAAAATAACTCTCGCACATGTACTAGAAAGAAATAATGTTACTCACGTTCTGGCTTCCTCTCTATCCTCGCCCCACGAGAAACAATGCCCAAACTGTGAGTCAGCAAACTCGTGTAACCCTCCTGATGCCTGCACCGAGAAATACCCCCACACGTTCTGATTAGACCTGAAAGTGAGTTCCTGGACTGTCCCACTGTTAGGTTTGAAGCCCTCATCAGGGTTCTCAGCAGTTATCCTGCACGCTAGACAGTGACCATGAGGTTTTGGGGGGTTCCGGGGGTTGTCGAAATCAATGGGGTTCATCCCGAATGGAGATTCTTTGTACATCATCCTAATGTCTCTGATGCGGTGCAGTGGGATACCCATTGCTACTTGGAGTTGTACAGCGGGTAGTTTGATACTGCTTATCATTTCCGTGCAGGGGTGTTCCACCTGAACATAATAATGATAACTGTGACGTCATAACAAGTATAACTCTGACGTCATAACAATGATAACTACTTTACTATGGGTCAATATTCTGTACAAATGCTTATTAATAATTTTGAAAATAATATCTGCTTATAGATTTATAATCACGATACCTTCAAATTTGAACTCGAATAATATTATGATAGTACACTAACGAAATAATAATCTAAAATTTCCGTTACTTCACCTGTAACCTAGGATTGAGCTCCAAGAAGTAGAAGCCCTGCCCCTCCATGTACAAGTACTCAACAGTTCCAGCACTGACATAGCCAACCATCTTGGCTAATCTAACTGCTGCCTTTTCCATCTCCTCGAATATAACCGGATCAGTAATGACAGAAGGTGCTTCCTCTATAATCTTCTGATGACGTCGCTGGACTGAACAGTCCCGACCAAACAGCGAGATAGCGTTGCCGTACTCATCCGCGATTATCTGTACTTCTATGTGTCGTGCACTGAATTCGTACGGGGTTGTCAAATTTGGAGATTATAATTCACGGATTGTTCCATAGTGCAGTATTTGATATGGCAAATATTCAATATTCCTGATATTACAGATTACGGAATTAATAAAAGTATGCCATCGTGGTCCGGTAGTCGTGGAAGTAATTAGGCACATAATTTGCAAAGTCCTTTACATTGCTTATCGTTTGCACAATTCAGTAGTAATATCAAATCGAATTATGCGTAAAACATATAAATCGGACAAAAGTGGCTCAATATTATAGAGTTCTAGAATGTTCAATTTTATATTGTAAAGTTCCACTTACAAGTTCCGCGACTAAACCATTGGTGCTTAGTGCTTACTTGTGTGCCAGTTGCATGATGAAAATTGGGGATCCGGGGATTTCAGACTGTACTTGATGATAAGCCAAATCAAATTCGTCCTCAGATTTCACCTTTCTGATACCTTTACCACCACCTGCGGATAAGGTGTTTAAGTTTTAAAATGAGCTGATTTTTACAGGAATTAGGAACATGATACAGATTATATTTGAACTTCATTTCCATTTTATGTAATGGTCTGATTGACACGAAAATTTGATATCCACGATAATATGTAGTCGGTAGGAAAGTCCAGACGAATAACAGTATTAATTATATCAGAACGGCATTCTCTTACCTCCTTCTGAAGCCTTGATCATTATAGGGAACCCAATCTTTATAGCTGCAGCAAGACCTTCTGCCATAGAATGAATACAACCTTTATCGTAAACATCCTCGGGGACTGTAATACACTCTCCTGCAGCAACTCGCTCCATTGCTCCATCCAGTGTCACATCTGTAAGAAGTAGAATTAGCATTTTATTTACAAGTAAACATTTTAGCAATTTTTCGACCTACAAAACAGAATAAAATGATAAAAATCATTAATATGCCAATAATTTTATGGAATATTGCACTTACGCATTCCATTCCACGGTAGTGTAGGTACATTAGCAGATTGTGCCAGGATGGAACTGGCGATCTTGTCACCTAGAGCCCACATAGCGTGTTCCGGAGGCCCAATGAAGGTTATACCATGCTGGTGAAGCAGTTCTGGCAGTTTAGGGTTCTCACTGGCATGACCCCAACCAGCCCACACGGCCTGTACAGGGATCCTCTTAGCTATATCCAATATGAGTTCCGTGTTAGCATAGTTGTAGTTGTTAGTTCCACCTGGAACTGGAACACTCAAGTCAGCCATACGGATGTACTCTGCATTTGCCTGTGGAGAACATGTATCAATTAACTAATAAACTACACCTGGTTATAAGATTGAGTGTTTTAAAGATATCAATAAAATTAATAGAACTGTATCAGTAAGAAAATGATGAAGGCTAGTTCGCACCTTTAAATCTTCTGGGGACACCATCACAACAAATTTTATAGCTTTCTCGTTTCCAAATAACTCGTAAGACCATTTTCTGATACTTCTCATGCATTTTACAGCAGCGATTCCGTTGTTTGCAATTAAAACTTTCTCAATAACCCTCTTTCCACCAAATGTACGAACAAATTCGGTTGGAGTTGCAACCTGAGAAAGTGAGGTCGTCAAATCAATGAATACAGTGCACATTTAATATATAGATTTGACTTTAGATCTTATGTATGGGAAAACATTTAAGATTTTATTTATGATGTCATTATAAGCTATAAAGTAAATTTCAATGAATAACATCGTTGAAGAATCAAATACATATCTTCAGAAAGAGTTTAAATAACAGTCAACAATATTACACAAAACTATGTGGGGTAAATCACAGATCATAGACATTAGACTAAAGAAAAGAGGGAAATAGCATGAGCATACCAAGCCATTATAGATCATGGTATTTCGTGTTTGTGTCTCGTGATGCTATGTAAACAAAATAGCAGCTCAAAAACCGTGCAAAAATACCACACTAAAGAAAACTCACATGCAAATGTGACTCGTATTCAAAGTTTAAACTCTCTTTGACTTTATTGAAAAGCCACATGATCAGAGGTTAAAATGTAATATGTCTTGAGGTTGTGGTTTAAGTATAGGGTGCCTGTTATCAGTGGCTGGTTATCAGTGTCAAATTGCAGTTGTCACGTATGAACATATTCATGCATCTTTCCATTCATATATTGTCTGCCTAGACCATATTTTGGCTAAAGCTGCATATAATAATATAATGTGAAAGGTGTATGGGTGATGCAAATGGATATGATAGATTTTGTAGCTAATCAAATTGTGAGACTGCCAATGTTATCTCAATAACATCAATAATTAGATTAAGCATCGCTGAATTCAGCTCAAATCTTAGAAATAAGTTGAACTGGTACTTCTTATCTATAAAAATAAGGACATTAATTATAAAATTTGTATGATGAACCCTTTACTAAGTCTGAGTATCTAATTTTATTTTTAACAACTGCCAAAGCAGAAAACAGTAATATTTAAAAAAGCAACAGAAAGCACAAGGAAAAATACCTGGCCATAAAAGATCTCATAACATAATGTTACAAGAAGGCACTTGCTTTATTTTCAAAAGACACCAGATACCTAGCTTACAGTACAATCATGTTTGGAATGATGGTCATCTCAAGATATTATTGTCAGAATTGTGTCGATCAGAATTATTTTATCTGGTCTAAAATTATTCATTAAGTATTTTTTCTGTGGATGGTTGCATGAGAAGGCTGAATTTCCAAAATCACATTTCCCCTTCTTTATGATTTGTACTGTAAGTGCAAGGTCGTCCTTGATGTGTAGAAATACGTAAAAGATTAAGGGGTATAAAATCGAATACTTCAGTAAGCTTACAGGTACAAACAGTCAACACTGATACAAGTTTTGAATCATATCAGTAACAACTGACAACCATACATATTTTTATTGACATGCATACTTAAATGGGATAACTTATCATTCAGCTTACCAAGAGATGTGATTCATCCTCAATATCTTTAACACTTTCCCCAGAAAGATTTCTACGGTGTCCTTTTCTAAATTTCATTCTCAGATGCCATGAATCAACACAACAGGCTGATTTACTGACAAATGGATGCATGTTTAGGAAGAAAATGTTTGGGGATAAATAATGGAAAAGTCATGTGAGCAATCATCAAGAACTGGATGTCAGCCAATAGCACAAAGCCTGTGATGTGGCTGAATATGTTAAAATGATGTTCTGACAAAAACTAGGCAGTGAAATGTACCTAGGTGCTGCCCCGCTAATCCTTTTTGTTGCCGACCTAAAATTTTTCTGATGTCCTACAAAATTAAAAAGTTGACGTAATAATACACAAATTGGATGTTTTTCTTTTTGAAAGACATCAAATTCAGGAAAATGCCGCCCTCTCGCATAGCACGAGCAGCAGTAGCCGAGGCGGTTGTTACGCCATTGAAAGTAGGCTACGACAGCCCCAACGTTAATGTGGCTCTTGCTATGTGTTGGTTCAGCCGAATTAATTATTATGTAATCAAGTTTATTTTTCTCTTTTAGTTAGTTGTCATCCGGCCAAACATTAAGCAACTTATATTGCAGTACCTTTTATCAATTAGTTTATCAAAATATGTCATTGTAATTTTGCATGGCTGAAATGTAACGCTTGATTTATATATATAATAATTAATTGAATTTTCAAATTAAAAAAAAATAATATGATTCAAATACTGATTAAAAATTATCAAAAAACCGACCCACAACTCGTTGAAAACAACAAGGGTATAATCAACAGAAAATTTACAATGATTTGATTTACCAATGGGAAATGCGAACAATAAAATAACTTAATTCAATTAATATTGTAATATTTCGTAGCCTTGCATTTCTAGATCAGTCAATACAAATGTCGTCCAAAGGGCAATTATTTATGTTTAGAGCCTTACTTTGCATTTAATTGTAACCACTTACACCTGTGTTGTAAAACAAATATTAGAAGAGCCAGCAGTATGTACATTATACATACTTGATAGTATAGTATAGTGCTTGGTTTATAGTACACATAAATATGAAGGGTGAAAACCAAGTCATGTATCATAAAGCAGTAAAGCAACCATTGCATAGACACATGTGCTCAGCAGATTAAAATAGGAGCAACTGTTCGGCTGAAGTTTAATCGGCTGAAGTTTAATGCACCCATTACTAATTAAAATATGTCTTAAGGTGGAAAATACTATAGCTGGTCATCGATCGTGGGGGTAGTAGGTCAGGGGTCATTGTCCCAGTGCTAAATTTAAGGTAGTAGGCAGCCGGCAGGGAACACCATCATTTAGCAGGACAGCCGACAGGTCAGGATACCATCTGTTTATGTGAAGGTAAGTTTTCCCAATTGAACAATCAGACTAGATGATTGACCATCTGACCATCTGTTTATATTGATATTCTTACTATAACCTCCTATTAGTATGTCTTCTTTCTAGCTTATACAGGGGAGGGGGTCATGTCACTGGGTGGTGCTCAGGAGGTGACCGGGACATGATTTCAGGCCTGACTGGGACCGGGACCGAGATACAAAATGTGACTTGACCGGGACCGGGACCGGGACTGAGATTATCAATTTACCGGGTCTGACCAGGGACTGGGATGAAAAATGTGAATTGACCGGGACCGGAACCGGGATGGCTCAAAATTTCCAATCCCGATACCGGGATTCCCGGTACCGGGAATTCCTGTCGATTACTGGTTAATTCATGATCATAATTTATAACTCAAACTTGTTTAGCAATTTTAAACATTGTTTTATTTGGCTCAGAGGATGTTTAAAGATGAAATTCACAATGAATGAAAGGAAAAACTTAAAATCACAGAGAATGAAATTATGTAAAAGATCCCGGTCAAAATCCCGGCAAATTTGAGTGATTGACCGGGACCGGGACCGGTCAAGTCACATGAAAAATGTGACTTGACCGGGACCGGGATCGGGACCGGGATAGCTCAAAATTGCCAATCCCGGTACCGGGATTCCAGGAACCGGGAATCCCGGTCACCTCCTGGTGGTGCTCAGCATGTCATTCCTCTGTATAGTATTGTATATCTTCAATTGGTGTTTTATGGTTCATGAACACGGGCTGTAAATAAAGGGGTGGGGTGGGGGAAGTCAGTGCACATACGTTGGGTATTATGAAATTTTTCATATTTAGTAGTAAAGACTTTTAGTACGGGAATTATTTTATTACTATAAAAATATGAAATTTTTCATATTTTGAGACTAAGTAGAACATTAAAATTGCAGGGTCAGTTTCAAACAAATTATATCATCTAATTGTCATGCCTAAAGTGGTTTGTAAATGGGTTGTTAGACCAACGCATTTTGGTCCTTCATTCCTACCACTCAGCAGTATCTTAGTATCTAGTTGAAAACTTGTATGTTATTTCATTGAGATGGCATACTCAATAATGTAACTATTCATTTGTCGTGGCCTGGATTACGTCGCCAAAATTTTAAAACTCATCGTGAATTCCTTATATTTGATATTTGTCTTAGCAAACATGCTAACAACCTTATTTTAATATGCGCTATGATAAATAGGACAATTAATGCTTATGGTAAATTTATAATTTAACAAAGAACGGATACGCATGAGATGACATGAAAGTTGTTAAATAATTTGTAGCTTGTTAGCGAAATTGATTGAGTTGATCATTTTAAAAGCTTCCATTTGATTTCAACGGACGATCCTCGTTTAAATGTTTTCGAAGTAGCGCGCGCTGTTTTTCCTCGGAATATTATATTTACCCAAGGCAAAGTGGTTCGAAATAGCGCGTGCCGGGTCAGTTCATTATATCAACTCTTTCCAAACGGTACGTGGTAGCTTTGTTGTAGCGCGATGCGTTACTGTGCCGCGCCGCGCACTCAATGAGGCTTCTCACAGCGACATGCTGGATCGGCAAGATGCACTACTGTACCGCGCCGAGCTGCCATGAATTGACATCGTCAATTAAGTAGCTTTGCTATTTACAGCCTGTCATTCCGCCTAATCTCTATTTTATATTTTTGAACATTATAGGCTGCACTGTGGTCCCCAGGTAAGAATCAGTTATGCATTTATATAAATCACTTAACTGACGATGTCAATTCATGGCAGCTCGGCGCGGTACAGTAGTGCATCTCGCCGATCTAGCTGTGAGAAGCCTCATTGAGTGCGCGGCGCGGCACAGTAACGCATCGCGCTACAAATAAATCACTTGGAATACTTTTGAAAAAGAATAACAACAAGCTCAAAAACGCTATACTATCCTATCTATCCGTAAAAAGCACAGCAGCGTAATTACAGATTAGCTTAATTGACGTTGTAATACGTTGTATGACCCGCCGCGCACGAGTGCGCGGCTCCCCTGTATCGTAAAAACGAAACGACAATGGGGGTCACGCCGTGATACAAAATTGGCAAAAGTCCTCGGAAGTGGTTTAAATCGATTACCCGTTCAATTTTTGTCCATACACGTCAACTTTGAACTTAATGGTGTAGACTGCAGAATCAAGCAAGTTATTAATACTTGTCATACGTTGTATGACCCGCCTCGCACGAGTGCGCGGATCCCTTGTATCGTAGAAACTCTATATTGAAACTTTATAAGAAATAATTCATAAATATCAAATTGGATGTGCTTTCGGTTTAGATATAGATGATAGCGCTTGTCCCTTTGTGCTTTGTCCTTTTTATGTTTCAACATGATGAATGATCAGTCTACAAAAGTCTAATAAAGATTTAAAATTGACCATTGTTAATTGTCTGGCCCAAGACGAGTAACATCCGTCAAATTTAAAATTGCTATGCACTTTTAATAAAATCTAACATCTAAGCTAATACATAACAGGACTTTGTCGCTTCGACGCGAATTATTGTTAATTAGTTTTGTTTTCAGCTTTGCTTTGAAGACGAGATTGTTGTAGGTTTACAACCTACCAGGACGCGCGCCGAGTTGGACTCGTCGACGGTCCTGGAATAATATATGGAACAGATATTTTACGAGCAACGAGTATCACCCGTTAATGAGATTGTAGTGGAGCAACGAACTGGAATAAATTGACATCTGACATCGTCGACTAACATTTTTACCTTCATCATTTAGAAGCTTCATCACAAAAAACAATGTCTACAGTCTATAACTTATCAATATCAAAAAATGTATTTCAGATGCATAATGAAACTAAGATTAAGAATCATCCCATATGAATCATTGAATCAACGCAAAGCTACATGACGAAATACGATTGCAAATGGGGGTAAAAATGCTTTGTCTGTTTTTGCATTTTGGCAATCTATGGGCGACAATTAAAAAAAAACATACCCATTGATGATGATCAAGCGCGTTTTCATTTTCTGTTTTATCGATAACAACCAATTCGTCCTTGCTGGGTGTTTTCTTCCGGGTGCCAGTTTTACTTTTATTTGGCTTCACCATACCAGAATCAGGATCTACCAGATTCAATCTTTGTTGAATGTTTTTAAACCGGAACTAGATTGGTACTTACAGACAAGAACGATACTAGTACTACCAAAAAATCACTACAAACTAAACTTAACTTATTAACGTAAAATGCGTGATTTCCAGTATAGTTCTACATGAAAAACGCCCTCGCACATTTTAGGTTGTAAGCCTGGTGGGTTAATAATCAAATTATCGCGTAACTAATTACCGGGGGTAAGTAACTAATACCATTGTATCACCCATGAACCATGTTTTCTTTTCCTTCATGTTTAATGTTATTACTCCTCGATGGTGCAAATTGAATTCGATCGGAAAGAAAGTGGAATTTCTTGTTCAACTTCATTGCGTAACTCGACATTATTTGAAAATGGGTTCACTTTCGGGGTCCCATTTCTTTCTTTATAATTTTCATTTACTGTTCTCCGTGATAAAAATAATAGTATGGAATATTATGTAAGCCATTATAATTTTGATATAATAGCTAGCCATGTTCAAAGTGGCATGCATAAGCCATAATAAATACCAATGCAGGACCACCCGTACTTACACTCAGAATTGAGTTGTATAAATTTCCAATACGAGATTGGGGACGGGTTCTAGAAGTAAAAACGAAAAAACGAACATGAGCAAAGTGGCTTAATAGTTGAAGGCTGGCTTATATTACTGGTTACGCAATATGTGAACGATTGAGTATTGAGAGGATATTATATTGTCGTTAATATGATTTAGATACTTAGTATCCCAATCAACATAGAAGCAAGGACTGTGTGCTATGGTAGCATTGTGCGATAAAAATAGTATGATCTGCAAGGTTATTACTGTAATCTTGAATCTCTATAAGTATATACTATATATAAATAGTACATACAACTTTGTTTTATGGTCACAACATCTAAAAGGTACATATACAGCTGCAGCGATGGTGGATGGGCCTTTAGCCTGCTCTATTCATTGAAGTTACAGCTGTCAGCCAACTTACATATTCGTAGTCGGAATCTGAAAGTCTGGGAGTCTTTTCTTTAGTTCTCTTGGGCATTTTTCGAGTCCTCTGAATGAACCTACGTCGGATAATGGGAGGCTCCGGCTAGAATAATGGGAGAGTACTGAGTAGTTAAAACTCTCTCAACCTATACATAAAGTAACAGGTTGTGAAACTGAAAACGAGAACTCTTCAAGCGGTCAACTTACTGCAAGTGCATTTCACTATTATCTTTTATATCATATTTCACCATTAAATCCGAAGCTGTCTGTCAGTTTTTTACCAGACAATTATTAGAAGTTAAGAAATACATTCCTTAAAATCACGTGATCCCATTCCTAAACCAAGCCAGTATAATAATTCTACACAGTTCTTTTAAGATAACTAACAGCTTCACAATAGTTACCTGCACAGTGGATTTGTGGACTGCCTCACTGTCAGCCTCATCAAACGATCGAGATTTGAACATCATCTTCAGAACCTGAACCTAAACTACAAAGCGTCACGACAGCGGTCAGCACAAATAAAGCAGGTCGTACCTTGAGAGGGATAACCTAATAATGTTGCAGCAAGTGCCGGGGCGGGCAACTATTTCAGTGGTATAATAGCAGGTGACACGTGGGAATGGTCACGTGGGCGGGCTCCACCTGTCCTAATCAGGGAGCTGGCACTACAATGGTGTTACTCTGTATCGCATCACGAGATCAACGGTTAAGGGCATGGTCAGGATTTGTAGGTGATACTATTAGGATTACTATTGCTACAAGTACATTAAACGTTAAGATAGGGATATTGGCTGGTGCAATCATCGAATTGACACCCTACCCGTGACCTAGTTACGAAATCCATCCAGATGAAGGGAAATGAGGGGAATAGTAAAATTGTCTAGTCGATTCCACCATGGTCCATGGATATTGGATAATGGGACCCAGGGACCCGTTAAAAGCAAATTTCATTATGTAACGTGCAAACAATCTAAAACGTGCGGTAATTAGCCTGAACTTAAACGTTGCCTTGCACAATGCACAGTTGCACTACTAGTACTGACCATAAACAGTAAAAGCTATGTATTGAACAGTAAGCTATTAAACAAGCTATATATAACTGTGAGATGTACTACACAAAAAGGATTGTATTCAGTACATTTTACATGGGCATTGTCAGTAAGTTCTTAACAACAACCTTATTGTGAAAAGCACAATGTCTTTTATATTACGTTCAGTAATTGTACCATAGAAAATGTAAATAAAAGGAAAACTCGCTCGTAAAAACATAACTCAAAAGAATTGAACAGTCTTCATACAATAATGCTAAAGGAATGTAAAATACAATGACTTTAGACCAGAGGAAAAAAGCCCGAAGTCATGAATTGCTGAAAGCTTGAAACTCAATTGATCAATGATAAAATATATTAACAATACGGCGTTTTGAAATCGTACAACAGCTGGTGCAATAATGACGAAATTTTCAGTGTTGAAACATTTCGAAATCAGTTAACTTTGTCAAATTTTAAAGAAACAGAAAATTAATTAACTTAATACTAAATCAATCAATATTTGATATTCATATTACAGTGAAATAATTGAGTGACTCATTATTATCAATATGATGCAACCTATAGAAAATTAAGAAAGAGGATGCAATACAGCAATACTGCAACTGTATAATAAGTCCAGAAAAACACTGAATAATCGGTATTAATTATAAAAACGTGTTTACTACCGTGTATAATCAAGCGAACCTAAGTATTAAGCAAATTATTTACTGTCAATATAAAAAGATAAAAATTGCTGAAAACTGACGAAACTCATTGATCGTGTTACATATCAATATCAATTCTAATCTAGAAACAGGTCCAGAGTTCGGTTTTTTTGTAGCGAATCACGCGTTACTACGTCCACGTCATGCGTTACTACGTTCCCGTCACGCGTGAGTGGTAACGCAAGGCAAACAAACCAAATTATGAGAGACAGCTAAATATCCTATTCCTACTGAGCGGGAGGTATTGGTAAAGGCACTGTCTTGTCCCGCGGAACTTTGGGAGGACGAGCTGCCGAGCTATTTGTTCGTTGAGGCAGTGGCGGGGGCATGTCTACTGCTTCATCTGAAAAATGTGGAGAATGTTGAAGATTGAACACAACGGACCAAATAGTAATTTGTAATACAGCAAGGAACAAAGCTATGGTATTTTTCGGCTCAAAATTATATGTGTGACCAGTAAAATTTCACAATAATCCATTCACACTTATCATATTGAGTAAATTAGTTATTGACTCATGTCTGATTGGGTTTTGAAAATGATTGACAACTATGGTAGAATCAGTTGTAGCATATTGGAGATAATTGCATTCTTTTTTGTACTAAAAGTTAAAACGAATGAACTCAATAAAATTATCGAATGCGTGTGGATATATATTGTCAGTAGTAGCTTAAAAATATTCAATAATCCTAGCAGAATGATGGAATTTCCCACGCCACATAAATTGAATTTTGCAGATTCAGTGATAGCAAGTAATATAATTGGAGGTAACACATCCAATTAAAGTCATCCAATTAGGGACGGCTTTTAGCTTTATAATCGTGTTGAAACCTGAAGTGATTTACAGTGATCACCATCTTCAGTTTCAATGTCATTCCAGCGCACGCCACATCTTACTAAGAACTTGATTTCTTTTTGGCTTTACTTTTTGCAAAAACTTTAGCGAAACTACTTTTCCGTCTTCGAGGTCCACTCTTGACAGGCAGAGGAACAGCAGGGTCGAGGTCCCCAAAAGAGACTTGACTCTGACTTCTGGTCCGGACAAACACATTCGAATTGGATGACATGTAATTTAGGGAGATGCTACTGGTAGCCTTGGTAGTGTCAAAATCATCAGCCTCCAATTGCCCGATTTGAGTGATCAGATCGTCAAGACTGGGAGACACGTCGTCTCGAGAGTAGGGACCGTACGGTCTTTCGTTTATTATATCCAGGGCTGAGCCTAGGGTTTGGGGAATTAAACTAGATGGACTCATACTGATCCTAGAATGACAATCAAAAAGTCAGTCTTGGTATTGGTGTTAAACTTTAGGTCATGGTACTATTGGAGCACTGGTACTTCCGTATCCCTCTAAACGAGGGTATAAAAATCGCATTATAAGTTCAATGTTGAAGTTTAAACTTGATGGGCTCACGCATACTTAAACACGTCTTCAAAAAAGTATAATGGGGCATAACTGACTAAACCGCACCTAGCAGTAAAATTGTGACCAAGTATCCTTTATCTCATTTGATAAAGGATTCCGAGTTCCGACCATGCCACTAACACTGCCAAAATGTTATTGTTTTGTTTTGTTTTGTACATGTTTTTTATTTTGAACTTTCACAAATAGTATATAAAATTGGGTCCGATAAAAGAATAAAGGAGAAGTACATGCGCGAATGCACATATTACATGTATTATGGTATGCATGTGCATTGTGCAGTGCAAAAATACATCACCATTTTTTATTTGATTTAGACTTCCTCAACGACTTCTTTGCGTGCAGTATGTCCTGGAGTCCTCCAATTCCTCTCTCAAGAGTTGGAGGTGTGACATACATTCCTACTGTGGCACTCCGGGGATGAGCTCCAGCTGCTGCTCCACCCCCTGAGGTCAAGTCTGAAGAGGAAACTGTCGTGGACCTTGTTGGGGTCACGTACTTGTTTTCATCATCACCCTCAGTTTTGAACGCATTGGAAAGTCGCCTGAGCCCTTTTTTAGTTGCTTCTGTGAAACTTATTTGTCGGTTTAATCCCTTTGCCATACTGTGGGAAGTTAAACTTTTTTCCGATTCATCCTCTGAATCATCAAATGGGCTCTCCAAAGAATGTTTCCCTTTCCTTCTCGGGGGAGCTACAGGAGACTTGATTTTAAACTTCTTCAAGCTCACAACAGGAGACGTTTTCTTGTTCATATCCATCACATGAACGTCAGATAACTTCTTCCTCCGAGTAGGAGACTTCTTTCCTGCTGAGGGTGAGGCTTGGGGGGTCGGATTAAGAGTCATGTTATTTTTACTAGGACCGGGGGAGGATCTAGGAGAGCTATACAAAGAGGAGAAGTTATCCTCTGGAGAGACATCTTGCTGATTGGATGCTGATTTAAGTGTGAAAGGCTGCGCTCTACTGCAAGTTGGAGAAGGTGCTGTTTGGGCGAATCTCCCGAATTTTGTGGTTGTTTCGGTCTTTTTAACCAGATCTTGAAATAATGTCAAAGGGACGTTTTGATAAAGGGTACTAGAACGTCGTAATTGTCGGTTAAATTTCCGACGTGTTTGTAAGTCAGTTTGTTCGTCAGTTGGTTCGTTGGTTTCGTCTTCCTCTGAGGGAATATGTCTCCTTTTAGTTTTCTTTTAGAACAAAGTTCAAAATATCGCCGACGATTAATAAAATTATCTTACTAACAGCTTGAAATTAAGCCAAATGTAACTTTTCAACTCTACACAACAAGCGTTTAAACAATCCCAAGATTTAAAAGCGATCATGCAAAACCAGCTTCCATAAATTGTCACATTACAAAATAACAAACTAACCAGTTAAGACGTTGTTAGAGTTGTCAGGAGGTGTTGTGGAGCAGCTGATTTTAGGTCGCGGTGGCAGAGTAGGTACATTATTGTTAACCTGGTCAGTAATCATTATTCAATGGTTATATTTATCTGCTACATTTCAGTTGCTACGAAGATTCATAACTGGTATCAAATCAAATAGTCAACAATCGAATGAACTAAAAGCACCATTAACCTCATGATCGTTTTCGATTGAAGTGTTAGAGAAACTCATGTCCAAAGACCCGTTACTGTTGATAGATTTCTGGCTCTCTCGCTTCAAACTTGGACTACTGTGTATCAAACTAGACCGCTTCTGTTGGAAATTCTTTTATTTTTTGTGATAGAAATGACAATACTTTTAAAGGAGTTTAAGTTGACAATTAACGAACAACTCGTGAGATAAGTTTTAAAAGCACTGCATAGTGTATAGTTATGTAACCTCATCATTATTAAGTGGAGTTAACAATCTCACCTTTGGTGGCAAGGCAGGAGTGTCAGGAGCATTTGCATTAGCAGCTGAGCGCCGATCTCTGATGAGAGCTTGAGGATCTGGTAAAACTTCAGTCTTCCTACTTGGTAGAGGCGGAGGAGTAGCACCCCCTGTTACGAAGGGACTCTCTTCTCCAGAAGTTACTGAGATCATTGAGGTTCTGCTCCTCATGTTCTGAAACAAGGAGATAAGTGGTCAGGAAACTTTAGAGACTGCTAGAAAATAGGGCTCAATAGTTCTTATCACAGGACTCCTATAATTACAGGACTCCTATAATTACAGGACTCCTATTACAGGACTCCTATTACAGGGCTCCTATTTAGGAACTCAGGAATTGATAAATGTATAATATCACACCTAAATCGAAGATGTAACTAGGTGGTTAAATACCCGTGATAAAGTTGAATTGTATCTATGAAGAGTAGAGTTAGAGGCGATGGTACTGGTTCTCATTGACCTGTACGGAGTTCCTGACGACATGCCCTGAAAATATTCCATTTTAACCACACTAAAAAATAAATTCTTTGCGATGCTTGAAATTAATGTATAGATCAGACCAAAATCACGTGCTTGAAATCAGACTAAAACGAATCAGGGAATCAGGTTTTGACCAAATAAGGACATGTGATTTGTTGATATCTCGTACCAGTTCACGGCGGTACTTGTTGCTGTCTTGTCGCAACTTGTCATGTTGGGATGTCAGATGATCGTGAAGAGGTTTCACAGACTCTGCACACACTTTACCGTGCACATCAATACCATCCTGTAGGATCTCCACCTGTAACGTAACATTAGAGATTAGAGAAGAGTGTGTACATAATGTATTAAGAACTGCGAAAGATCTAAGAGGCACATATTATAACACACACCAAATGAATTGTTTACAAATGTTTACAAAATAGAATTAAAAAACACATTTTCTTACCTGATCAATGATGATCCTTTTCAGATACATGATATTTTCCGCATCAGCAGGATTCTTCTCGCCGTACTCCTTACAGAAGAAAGCTTCCTCGTACTTCTTGATACCTCCCTGAACCACTGCATCTATTGTTCCGTTCAGAGCCATGGTAAGAGGGTTAGCGTTAGTTTCACGCTGAGCTTTGTATCCGTCGATCAGAATGCGGAGCTCTCGGTTCTTCTTCTCCATCGCTTCAATGGCCGTGTTGATCGGTGATAGCTCCGTCTGAAATATTGTTCAATTGGTAAATGGAATTGAATAATGACATTATTCAGTGAGTAGTTTAAAATTAACTGAACTATATTCCACTGAATTCCAGAACAAGGTGCGCACTTAGGGTAGTCAGTTAGAAGGGTTGAGTTACGGGACAAAGTCAAAACAAAAGACGGTGTTATGGCTGTTATATCATGTTGTACCTGTTTCTTTTGTGCTTGCTGAACACCGCAGAATATGGAGGTATGTTGAAAATAAGAACACTTATCAAAACCCTGATCATGAACTTGTTTACATGATGATATCAAATTGTCTCCGATATGAAACTTGGGCGATGATGATAATTCGCCAACATCCAGGGACTATGGAGTCAACACCATGTGAAGACATCTATAAGACTGCAGAGTGTATTGAATTGAAGTCTAAAGGGTTCTGTAATAATCCTCAAACACAAAAATACGTGAGACAGAAATGCCCAGCAACGTGTGGAGTTTGCCAGGTAAGAAAACACTTATACAATCTGAAGCGCTGGACGTTTAGAGCTGAAATAGGAAACACGCTAGAAAACTATTGAAACCCCCTCAGAGAGCGCACGATTGTGTTGATCTGAACGATAACTGTGAGGATTGGAGAAGGATAGGACTCTGCAGCCAGACCCAGCTCACTTCCTACGAGGGGATCATAGCCAAGGAGTGCAGGAAGACTTGCTCGTTGTGTGAGGAGGACGAACCTTGTCAGGATCTTTTTACGGCCGTTCAGTGCAAGAGGTGAGTTTACAAATTATAACGGACTCGCCACACTCACAATATCACCAGAATCACCAAAGCTTGTAATTTCAAACTTGCTTATCTTCAGTTTTTAACCTTTTAGCACTTGTAATCCTACCATCAATAAAGGTATGATGATCTACCAATCACACCGATATATTTCCATCAGATTGGTAGAAATGGGATACTGTGAGACACACGAGTATCTAATGAGCAAACAATGCGCGGATTCCTGTAAATTCTGCCAGCACCGGGAGATACAGATAACACGAACTATTGGATGGAACGAGTGGGGGGCCTGGTCTATTTGTGATGTTGTTTGTGGGGAGGGTGTCAGATACAGGTACTCCGTGGAGATATTTTAGTTTTCCTTATCAAGACCGATATTTGACCATAAATTAGGCATTCTACACTGCAGAGATTTACGTTGTGATCTAAACACAAATTTTACAGATCAAGAAGGTGTCAAGAAGGACCATGCTTTGGCGTTGTCACCCAATCTGGACCATGTATCGTAGAAAATTGCCCTAAAGGTATACTAATCTAACTCCTTCGCCACAAATAAAAATATAGTGATATGATGCAAGTTTAAGTTTCCGTAAATTCAATAGTAGAAGTAGTATATTTATTGAGTGAATCATTTCCTCTCAATATCAATCTCCACAGCGATCTGCCAAGGCGAGAAGGAGGACTACTGTCCTTTCCTAGAGGAACTGGGCTACTGTTCTCGACCTGACAGCACTAGATTCATGGCTAACTACTGCTCCATCTCGTGTGGGATCTGTGAAAATGTTGTGCAGGGTTCAGAGAGCGGGGTTGTGACGTCACGGTACAAGTTGTGTGTGGAGAGAGCGCTAAACAGGGTCATCTCTACTTCTCTTGACACTCTCGAGAGATTCAACGTGAGTTTAGATGAAACAGTCAAAGAGCTGAGACCGAGGTAAAAATATTGTGAATGACAGTGTAGACTGTAGATATATTTATGTTTGACTTTCCAATTAAGCTGGGTTTTTGCAGGTCGACAATGAGTTCAAAGAAGGAGTAATTGAAGAGAACCGCCTACCACTATCAGCTCAGGCCAGTCTCCGGAAATTATCAAGACAAGGTCGAGCACTGACCATTCAGGATAGACTCTTCAATGATATCGTGGACAGAACCAACAACTTATGTGGGGTGGAGACACCCGGAACTCGGGGATATATTGAGTCAAAACTGTTAGAATCGAAGGTGATTGAAATTTCAAGAATAGATTGCTCAGCGGTATGTACAGGACGTAATGTCGGTGAAGTATATCGAACGATAAATGGAACGTGTAACAACTGTGGTAACCCTCTCTGGGGCTCCAGTACCACGACAGTTCTCCGAGTACTGGAAGCGGAGTACGAGGATACGGAGAAGTCACTGCCGCGCGGCTGGGCACAACACGCTCCGGAACTTCAAGCTGTTCCAGAGGACCTCCTTGTACCATCAGCTAGACTGGTCAGTCAAATGTTGTTAGATGATAGTGAGATCAGGGACACACGGTTAACACTCATGCACTTCCAATGGGGACAATTTCTAGATCATGATCTTACCCTGATCCCTGAAAGTGCGGAGGCAGGAGGGAGTGTGAAATGTGAGAAGGAGTGCTCCAACACCCATCCCTGTTTCCCGATACGACTTGCAGCTTCTGATCCTATAACAAATATGACTGACGGTGTAAGGAATTGTCTCCCTTTTACACGCTCGGCCGGGATAAAGTTCAATTTAGATGGAGCTTACCGATCCTCAAATCAGATAAATGAAGTGACTGCCTTCATAGATGCATCCAATGTCTATGGAAGCTCTGGTTTCCTAGGACTTCTTCTGAAGGGTGAAAATGGAAATATGAGAGTTGGCGAACCTTGCGGGCAGGCCGATGAAGGACCCATGTTACCCGATTGCCCAAAAACGACAGCGACCCATTTCTGTGCCTGTGCCATTGAGGCCTGTCCCGAGAAGTATATAGCTGGAGACACCAGAGTGAATGAACAACCAATGCTCACTCTGATGCATACTCTCTGGGTCAGGGAACATAACCGGATTGCAGAACAGCTGAGAAGGATCAACAAGTGTTGGGATGCAGAGAAAGTGTTCCAGGAAACCCGGAAGATTGTGATAGCCATGATGCAACACATCACGTACCGACTCTATCTCCCAGTGCTTCTAGGCCCTGCTGGATTCCAAAGCTACATAGGATTTGAATCTTTATACGACTCAAAAGTGCAGTCTGGGATACTCAACTCATTCAGCACGGCGGCTTTTAGATTCGGCCACTCACAGATCCCCTCAAAAATACCTCTAGTGGACTCTGACTGGAATATGGTGCAAGAAGAGCGGCTACAAGATGCGTTCTTCAGAGCCAGTATGGTGTGCGGGTGTGGGTTCGACAACATTCTCCGGGGTATCTTACACACCCCTGTTAATGAGGTAGACCCTCACTTCTCTGACTCGGTACTAAACCACCTGTTTGCTCCACATCATCACTCCATGGGACTAGACCTGACCAGCATCAACGTACAGCGAGGCAGGGATCACGGGATACCACCCTATATCCAATACAAGAACTACTGTGAACAAAAGTACAAAGTACAGGCTAAATTCAGGAATAACGAGGAGACTGTAAGTCGAATCAAGCTTGTTTACGGTGATGTGAGCAAACTGGATCTCTTTATAGGCGGTATCCTGGAGGAGCCTGTAAACGATGGTCTGTTGGGTCCAACTTTCTCTTGTATTATTGGTGAGCAGTTTAAAAACTTGCGGGAAGGAGACAGGTTGTTCTACAGTCACGAAGGTGTTTTCACAAAGGATCAGCTGAAAGAGCTTTACAAATCTTCTCTGAGCGCTGTGTCTTGCGATAATTCTGTTTCGGTAGATGAAGTGCCACGAAGGGCGTTCATCAAGCAGGATCCTAAAGATTATGTGGAGTGCAGCTCGTTGCCAAAAATGAACTTTGAGAAGTGGCGTGATAACGATTGCTCTAACGAGGCATAAAAGGTTCGTGGTAAAAACATACGTAGCAACAATTTTTTGATAAGTTGACCTTTTAACTATGGAATATCAACAATTTAATTAATTTAAAATCTTGTTAATGTTATTGAACGATAAAATTACTCACAACTTCTTGTCTTGCTATCTCAACAAGTCTCAGTTTGTTTGGAAGTGGCTCCACTGTAATGAACTTCGTTTTCTCTAACCATGTGTTAGCGAAATCGTCATCTGATTAAAACGTTTGAGTTAATAATACCAGATGAAATGAAATTAGATTCTAGGTAGAATTTCAAAATGATGAGATGCCAAGTTTTAATTCTCATTTTATGAAAGTCATCTTAAGATCTCACCCTTGATTTTGCCACCGGCCTTATTAAAGCGCTTATCGTAACAGAAGCAGGCGATATCGTTAGTATCCCAGAACTGTGAGATGAGACTGGGCACATCCCTCCCCAAAAACTCCTCCCTCTCCTCCATAAGACATGTCACCTGGGGTTACGATGATTAACTTTAGAAACAAGTAGAAATTACTAGACGTTATAGTCTACCTTGTAGGCGTTATTTCAGTTACATAGACGTTATAGTCTACTAGTACTATAGCGGTGCAGAACTACAGATGCCTCATGTCAAAGATGGATATAAGTCAATTGGATACAAAATTTATAGTGAGACGTTGAACTATACCTTGTAAATTTGAAGGAATGTTTCAGGCGAGTCCTTAACTTCAGCAATCGGATCTGATGTGTAGTTTAAGAGAGAAGCTTTGGGGAACTGCTCTTGGAATCTTATCTGTACAAATGACAACCTGAAAACAAAATTATTATTTGATGAAAATATTCCTTTTAGCACATTTTGCTATTTAACTACCACTTGATTTTCTATGCAACTGATCTCTATTTTGCATATTTTACATATTTCAGTATATTGTACGCACCTAGCCAGTTCCTTGGCACAGTAAATGAAGCGTTTGTTTCGGAGGAACGCTGGGAACCCTTGACCGTAGAACCCGACGAAGAAGTAATCGTTGGGGTACCGCACAGTGTTCAGGATCTTCATGTAACCCTGAGCCTGCCGCTGGAGACCCTCTGACAGCTGTTTGTAGTCGAATATCTGGTGGTGATGTGAAGTTAAAACACAATAGTGGTAAATCAAGCCCTGTTCATTAATTTTATTAGGATAACAATTCTTTTGATCAAGGGTGCTGCTACCTATGATATTACCAGAACGGTGTCTTCAATTGGATGTAAATTTATACGATACTTTAAAATTTAACTTACCCCTTCATAGTAGTCGCAAAGGTCTTTGTAAAACCTAAAACTGTTCTCAAAGCTCTTGCCCTCTTCAAAATGTTTGATGATAATGTTGTGAAGTCGACCTTTTCTCTCCCGAACCCGCTCTCGCGGCAAAGTCTCGAACTTTTCCACGAACGTGATGTCTGAAAACTGTTTACAACTGGTTAGGACAAGATTGTACAAAGCGGTAAATGCTGTTTGTGTGAGTTTTTAACACGGAATTTTAGAAATAGAAATATCTGAGACCTGTAGTTTAGAGGCGTACATCTCCAGGGTGTAAGCAGCTTCTACAAAGTTCTTTTGTGAGATGTGAGAAGTGTACAATTTCCAGATGTATCTCAAATACATTTCGTGTCTGTTGAGTTCCTCGTAGAAATTCTGAAATGACCTAGCCCGTTAAACAAATTCAAATGGGTACCTAAATACATCATTTGAAATTTAAAATTATGAAATATATAATTTTGCATTTTTTCCATAATATCATTTCAAATTCTGAACATTGACTCTTGAGTGTGTGAATATGTAGACACTAGCAAGCCGAGCACCACAGGCCCAGAGGAAGTCAACACTGTGGGGGTGGAGGAATGTAGATAATCTAGGAGGTCAGGTCATGTTCACCAGGGTGACATGTTTACAGTAGAAAGAATGTAGTGAATATGCGGCACGTGAATATGCGGCACGTGAATATGCGGCACGTGAATATGCGGCACGTGAATATGCGGCACTTGAATATGCGGCACGTGAATATGCGGCACGTGCACCGATCTGATATATTGCTCAAAATCATGAAAAGGTAAAAATAAAAAGTCGATTAAAATCAATATTTGTGAGATTACCAAGAGGTTGACGATACATAGCATCCTAGCTTCACTATGATGATCTCCTTCTCTGACTTCCCTGAAACGATTATACAAATTTAAAAAAATTAAACAAGATTCTCTTGGAAGAATTATCAAAATGGGGTATAGCATAATACAGCAGTGGACGGTACGACGGAACTTTCCCAAAACAATGGACAGTACGGCTGAGTCATTAAAACAATAAACACTTACATAACTATAGTAAAAGACAAAAAATGTGAACTAGATAATAAACCTATAGAGGTGTTATCGCAATTCACCATTTATTTACGTAGAGAAACGTTCTTTGGTGGGGCCACTATCTAAGTTACCCTGTGTTAAACTAGTCTACCTTATTCGCGTAGGTGCTGATAGTTTAACAACAAAATAAATAATGTTATGCCGCCATTCTGTCCAACCCTTTTTGAGAATAGCTGCTGTAGTGTCCACCGCCGTAATGCCCAGTCCCAATCAAAGTTAACAATAAAGTCTAAAACTATCCTAAGATAGCTACATTGAACACTAACCTGAAGTTGAGCAAATGTTCGAGAAGAAGTTTGACACTGTTAACAAATCTAACACCGTTCTGATGGAGGGACCTGTTGATATCCGGACTGTTGAACTTACGGAGGAGGGTCTCGTACATCAACAAACTGTAGTTAGTGTCACCTTTACCACCGCTGATTAGCACGTCCAGCTTGTCTATCACCTGGTGATACAAGACATGTTACTACTGAGATCTGAGGCAGAAAGTAAATAACTGTACTCAACACTTATATGCCTTTTCATTAGAATATTGTTTTTAAACAAAATTTGACCCTTGACACGGTGAACATGAGTGGAGAATGAATTTCTACATGTTGTAGAATGTAGATACAAGATAATAGCCTAACGAATGCTTTAGCCTCTGTACTGTCCCACAAAAACGTCATGTGATACTGATAGAGGGAAACTTCTAAAAAAAGGCCGAGATATGAAGATAAGATGCCTTTTAAATGGAAACAGAACACCTTCTATTAGTATTCCTGCTATTTATTATATCTTTAACTTGGAGCTTCGGTATTTTGCGGTACTTGACACTAGACTTGCGATAAAAACGTACGTTCGAATAAGGACAAGAATTTTAATCTCGCATCATATTAATGTAGCACAATAATTTCCTTTTATGTCTAAACATTTGCACATAAAATAAGTTTCAATGGTCACGCTTCGAACTTGATTAAATTTGTATGAGATTTTTAGTGTCCAGCACAATTGTAAAATGGCGTGACTGTGACTCTATTCTCTTAACAGACGTTAAGGGACCAAATGTTCCAACTTTACTGTCGTTATTAATTGAATTGTCGAGTTAACAAATTTATGTCAAACCTAACGAAGTGCTAAATCAATAAACTCTGTTCTGAACTGTTATTTAAGTTTAAGGAGTCAAGAATTTGACACATCTCGTTGAACGCGGTTACATCATGAAATATCTACTCTTCATATCTACTTTACTTGTCGCTGCTTCAGCTCTCGACATCCAACTTGGTAAAAATTATACTGTCTATAATTATACTCTTTATCTACTATACTACCTTTTCAAGTTTAACTAATCATTTATCACTAGCGCTTACTTAAACTTCCTCCGTACCCAGGTCGGGAGAGTGATGCTCTGGAGTACTGGTTGGGTAATGGTGGGGTGCAAGGATACGGGAGAGGTCTGGAACAGTCTGCTGACATCATGCTTAAAAACTACATGAACTCTCAGTTCTACGGAGAGGTTTGTATTCTTTCTAGAACAATTCTGAGACAAAGTGGCTAAAATTATAGTACCGACGCGATGAGTACATTATAAAATTGTTTTACACATCTTCCCTATTCTTGAAACATATTCCCACAGATCAGCGTTGGTACACCACCTAAGAGGTTCAGAGTGATATTTGACACAGCTTCAGCCAACATGTGGGTCCCCTCAGATCAGTGCCCTGACACCAACGTGGCTTGCAGGGTGAGTAGTATTATTGTTACCAGCACTTTCATCTCATTCCACCACACCACCTTGTCTATACTCAATAATAAATAGTCCTTTATTAGTGTTTTTCGATACAAATTTAAACGAGGTCTTCATGTCATGGAGCCAGGGTTTTGGACTGGCTTTTACCCGCATAATTATTTAAATTATTATATTTAAATTATTAAATTTTAAACAATCTCCCCAGAGCCACAGAAGATACGATTCGAGCAGCTCCAGCACGTACGTAGCAGACGGTACTCCCTTCAGTCTGGTGTACGCTTCGGGTAAACTGAAGGGGTTCCTCTCCCAAGATACTGTTGAATTGGGGGGAATTGCCGTCACCAACATGACCTTCGGAGAGGCCATGGAGCAGCCAGGATGGGCCTGGGTCACCGCTAAATACGATGGCATTATAGGTGAACACTGAACAATGATTTTATTGTTAATTTAAATAAGCAGATTTGTAAAAATGACTATAGACCTGATACAGTGATACAGATAAACACGTGATTACCAATAATCACGTGTAGATAACTAATTAACACGTGATTACTTATTATCTCAATATTTCCACAGGCATGGGATACCCAAGTCTAGCAAGAGGAGGCGTCACCCCACTCTTCAACCAGATGATGGAACAAGGAGTGGTGACTGACCCCATGTTCTCTTTCTGGATCAGCAAGAACAGGACCTCCTCCGTGGGAGGCCTCCTGACTCTGGGAGGCTACAACTCTCAGTTCTTTACAGGAGATATCGCCTGGAGTGACGTATCAGTACAGGACTACTGGCAGATAGATATGGAGGGTATGAGTGTTGAGGGAAGGAAGGGAACTATCGCCTGCGATAGGGTAAGTTCTAAGCACTATACACAAAATAATCGCGCTGAACGTTTTTAACTGATTTATACTTGTGCGTGGATAATTTGAGATATTTATTTCATTACAAACTGAATTTCTAGGGATGTGACGCTATCGTAGACACGGGTACCTCCCTAATAGTGGGACCTGTTAACGACGTGTACAGGATCAACAGCTTTATTGGAGCTAAACTGATGTGGGGTGGTATGTGGTTTGTAGATTGTGACAAGGTGGACAGCCTTCCTTCCGTCTCCTTCAGAATCAACGTGAGTAACGGACGTACGAGTCATTTTCATTGTTTAAATTATAGATTTTATTTTGTTAAATATAGTAATCACTGTTGTTGCTTTATTACACTATATAAGGCAGTGTTATGGTGGTAACATGAACATGCAAATATGGCATTCCTATATTTATTCAGGGTCAATCGTTCTGAAATCGCGTTCAATCTCAAATTATTAGTATCATTTCAATTTTCAGGGCAAAGATTATCCCTTCACGAGTTCTGAGTACATAATCCCGGTTAAGACCAGCGGAGGAGTGATGTGCCTTTCAGCTTTTACCCCACAAGATATCAAATCTAAACAGGGTCTCCTCTGGATCCTGGGAGACGTCTTCCACTCTGTCTACTACACCGTTTACGACTTTGGGAACAATAGAGTCGGATTTGCAGAGGCAATTTGAAATGGAATTTAAGAAGAAGAAAAAAAACAAGATTCTAAAAATAGTTATGTTCAAATTCAAACTGTTTTTTTGTCCCTTTCAAAAGTATAATTGTTTAGTAATCCTGGGAACCCTAGGGTTTGCATCCAGGATGGGCACAGCTGAAGTTGGAAGCATCTATCGGCCATTTGTTGCCAGATAAAGTGTACCATTTAGTATAAGTATGATCGTTAGTTTCACATCCACTGTTAGGGTCAATGAGCACATCATAGATCCCTCTGTGCTGCAACATCCAGTTATTGTCTATATAGTATGATTCAGTATTGATGATTCTTCTGAAATTAATGTCATTGTCATTTTCATCTTTTTTAATCAAACATATTCAGAATCACGATTTTGGTTTGCATCCAGAACGGTCACAGCTAAAGATGGAAGCATCTATCGGCCATTTGTCACCAGAGAAAGTGTACCATTAGTATGATCGTTAGTTTCACAGCCAGTATTCGGGTGAATAAACACATCTTCCCCTCAAGTTCAAACCTCTTTACAAACTGCTCTCTCAGCTCCAGAGCACCAGCAGTGCGCGGCTTGTTGTTCTGCCAGAACAGCACGTGGATGTGGTAGGAGTATATAGTAGGAGCACCCTCACAGTACCCCTCATAATCAGGGGGCTTGTAGACTGTTGTTAGGAGGTTTTGATCGAAGTTGTGTACGTGGGCCTCAAGTAGAACGGGTAGCATGAGCAGAACAAGGTACAACATTGTGGTTCACAGAAATTAGGAAGTGGATAGTACTCATAGGTTAATATAGAAAGGAAGCAGTTCTAACGAGCTCTTCTCAAACACAAGGATATATCTTGTGAACTTGGCTAGTATATATGAAACATTTGATATGGAGTTGTAGAGGGAGTTATGTGCCTCGCCGGGCTAAAGTAGTAGATGACCTTGCTGTACGGCAAGTTAAACAAGGATCTGAAACTACTAGGTTCCGTACAGACTCAACTCTGCACCCGTGTCAATATGTTCATTATATGCAAGCCTCTTGATTTATGACTCGAAATAGCCTGGAAATAAAGATGATGTCTTACATCAGGGGGACGGGACTAAAGGCTAAGATTTCAGCGGAAATGTAACCCAATGTAAGCCATTTCATTGAAAATTGGTCAGTAAATTACCTTGTAGTTTGCCACCACCTATAATAGAAGGGTACATTTCTGATTTCTGACACCTAAAGCTAATCACTCTGAACTATTGACATATTTTGCTGGCTGTGTTGCGTCTTTTTGGAGCCTGAGAATAGTCTTAAGCATTCCTTTAGTAATTCCTTTAGTAATTCCTTTAGTAATTCCTTTAGCTTAGTAATTCCTTTAGTAATTCCTTTAGTAATTCCTTTAGTAATTCCTTTAGTAATTCCTTTAGTAATTCCTTTAGTAATTCCTTTAGTATTCCTTTAGTAATTCCTTAAGTAATTCCGTTAGTAATCCTTTAGTAATTCCTTTAGTAATTCCTTTAGTAATTCCTTTAGTAATTCCGTTAGTATTCCTTTAGTAATTCCTTTAGTAATTCCTTTAGTAATTCCTTTAGTAATTCCTTAAGTAATTCCGTTAGTATTCCTTTAGTAATTCCTTTAGTAATTCCTTTAGTAATTCCTTTAGTAATTCCTTAAGTAATTCCGTTAGTATTCCTTTAGTAATTCCTTTAGTAATTCCTTTAGTAATTCCTTAAGTAATTCCGTTAGTATTCCTTTAGTAATTCCTTTAGTAATTCCTTTAGTAATTCCTTTAGTAATTCCTTTAGTAATTCCTTTAGTAATTCCTTTAGTATTCCTTTAGTAATTCCTTAAGTAATTCCGTTAGTAATCCTTTAGTAATTCCTTTAGTAATTCCTTTAGTAATTCCTTTAGTAATTCCTTTAGTAATTCCTGTAGTAATTCCTTTAGTAATTCCTTTAGTAATTCCTTTAGCAATTCCTTTAGTAATTCCTTTAGTAATCCTTTAGTAATTCCTTTAGTAATTCCTGTAGTAATTCCTTTAGTAATTCATTTAGTAATTCCTTTAGTATTCCTTTAGTAATTCCTTTAGTACTATTGAACCATTTCTTTTGGCTTTTTATTTCGTCTCCTTTGAAGACACTAGTACAAACTACATGAATGTTACATACACTTTGTTATTAACTGATCTTCAGTGTAACGTGATGACATTTCGTGAGGCGATCTAACTTTAGATATCATCTAATTGATGTTGTTCTTTACATCTTGTGCTTTGACTGAAGTCCGGAAATATCTAATACTTGGGGACTAAAATTCAGGTAACGACGAGCATGGACAATAGAACGTTATACAATGTATAATGGGAATATACCCTGTATCAGTAGAAACTCAGCCCCTATTTATAGAAGCTACGTATTTAAAAAAGTCACTATAATGAAAAATCGGCCTTTGACACCAGGCTGCTAGTTGCTTGCTTCGACGCTCAATAAGTCAATATAGTAAGTCTATATTTATCAAGTATAAAGCGCATCAAAGGCGAATTATTCGCCATTCCAGTTGATAAATCATGGCGAGTGGTATGCTAAAAGAGCATATGGCTTTGATTTGGAGTTCCAAATAATTAGATGACAGAAATATCGAGCATAAGAGCTTTTTTATTACGCGGGATCAGGTGATTGGGTTGACACTAGATCTCTAGATCCGCACTTTGATAATCTTTATTATATTTTGAAAATCTTGGACCTCAGCCATGAATAATGTCAAATTCAGACTAAAATATTTAATTTTTGGGAAGGGTGGCTTTTTTTGGAAGGTGCTTCATTATTAACCATATTTTTTATTATTTTTATCAATTCAACTATATTTCTGACTAAATTTAGTTAAAAATAACCGTGAAGTTTAATTCTGTCAAAAACTATTAAAGTGGAAATAAGTCACACTTTATACGGTACACCCTGTATATTGATGTCTGAATATTCTTCAGAGAGGAAAGGTATGCTTTCCTGACTAGAGTCAGGAAATATGTAATATATGGGGACTAAATTTAAAGCAACGACGAGTACGGACAATAGCACCTTATACAACGTGAATATATAAGTGGAAACTCATCCATTTTACATGCGTCAGCCCCCTATTTATAGAAGCTATGTAAAGAAACCTTTGAAGCCTATTTAAATCGGCCTTTGACACCAGGCGAGTTTTTGAAATTCATAGAGCCATGAATAGGTTGCTGCTAGTGCTGCTGCTAAGTCTACCTCCTCTTTCCTAAAGTAAGCATTATATGCCATATCTATCGTGTTGGTTGATTTATAGTTTATACGTTAGGAGCTTGAATAAAAATAGCGCAAAAAGATACTATAGCAGAAGGCACATCCGTTCGACACTCAATATAAGTCTATTTTTATCAAGTACAGGGGGGAGGGCCAAAATGTATAAAGCGAATCAAAGGCGAGGACCTCGTGCGCTTTCACCCACGTCAGTCCTCCGAGCAGCTGATATTGAAAAATATCTCTTCTCAATAACTTACTGTTTTTAGACCTGACGTGTTACCTTCTCACCCTGGTTTCTTCCTTTTGTTACCCCTTGTCCCACCTACTTATAAAACTGTTAGACAACAAAGTACCTACCACTCCAGTGCACAGTGATGTTACAGTGATAGCATCATATAACAAACGCTCTGGTTCTAGAAAAGTGCACTTTCTAAGTATTATGTTTGATTCCGCCATTATTCGCCATTTCAGTTGATAAATCATGGCGAGTGGTATGCTAAAAGAGCATTTTATGGCTTTGAATTGGAGTTCCAACTAATTAGATGACCGAAATATCGAGCATAAGAGCTTATTCATTACGCGGGATCAGTTGATTGGGTTGACACTAGATCCGCACTTTGATAATCGTGCAGAGAGCCCAATAAAGGTGTTGTAGCACGCTATCACGTGTATCATGTCTGTTAGCTTATGGGGATCGACGAGGAGACTAAATTCCAACCAATCTGGTTTATTTGGAAATAATGCGTTAGTCCCATCAATATAGTTGTAGGTTTGTTACTTCGATAATTACTTCTACTGGGGATTTTGCAATCGTTTATTGGTTTCGTACTATTATTAAAGGGCAGAGAAAACTTCTGATTGGACAGATAATGTAATGAACACCAAGACAGAAGCGTTATCACAGATCATTAATTTCACGTTGGGTTGTAAGAAACATTACTTGTACAACAGGTGCGAAACTAGGTGGTCGCTTGTGGTATCAGTATTCTTTCTTACGATCCATTACGATCCATCAGACGTTATACGTTAGGAATAGAGGTAGAGTGGGTGCCCCAAAAGCAAACAGCAAGATTCATTACTATCCACTCACATCCAGTCATATCCGCTCATATCCAGTCATATCCAGTCATATCCGATCATATCCAGACTATCCACTGCATATGTTTTTGTATACACATGTTTGCCAAGTTGCAAGGTTGGGGCTGGGGCGTATGGGCGCCTGTAGAAAAAATTGTTCTAGAAAGTTTTCCCCATCAGTTTCAGTATGACAACTTTTTGGGGTGTTTCCTGGGACTATGGACAGCACATTTATGAAAATAAACCTTTGTTACGAATTTATTCCCAGATGGACCAATATATTGCAATTCTTGCCCAAACTATATACCTCTTATTCTATTTTCACTGTAAAATGTAAATGACCTGTATTTCCAATTGTTTTCCCAAATCCCTAACAGTACACTGATCCCTAGAAGAGAATGTACGGTCCTCCAGAACCACAAGCCAACACCTTTCTGGAACTGTTTGTAGGCAATCCCACAATAGTCCTGACACTTGGGGTGATAGCGTTCCTCCTCGGTGCAACTGCTATCATCTCCAACTCCTGTGTCATAGTGTTCTACATGCCCAACTACAGGAACGTGTATCCCATGCTGTATCTCTGTAATTGTATCTGTGATGGTTTTGCAGGTATTGGGGCTATCTTAGTTGGGGTTGTTCTTGTTCAGCTGTATCAAGAAGAGGAGACAGATACGATCATCAAGAGGGAGCCAGGTGATGTGACGTCATCAAGTCTGGATAAAGAATCACAGCCAAGTACCAC